AGTCTACGCGAAAAACGTAGTTTTTTAAAAAGTTTTTTTTATAAAGTATTTTTTTTATCAATTAAAGCTTAACTTAATTTAACAATTTATTAGAAAGTGTAGATAACTTTAAATGATATCAACAGTTACATTCAATTTTTAACCACATGCGATGAAAAATTAATTTTTGTTATTCACCGCAAAAAAAAATAGTAAAGTTGGGAAATGATTTTGTTAAAAGAACTGTGAACGCGCATTTGTTCTTAAAGATAATCTTATGATTAAACATTATAAGAAACTTGATAAGTCTTTAGTGTATTGGTAGTGGACAATAAATAGGGAGGGAGGGGGACTAAGGGGTATTATGTGGATTCTTTCAGTGAAGAATTAGATTTTTCCAAGAGCGCGAAAATGATTAAATAATCAAAAGCTGTTGCTGATTCGATCCACACGCTTGGATCTTAAACCTTAGTCGGAAATCTGAGCATGAACTCATCTGAGCCCTAACACTCCGAACTGTCCATACTTTACGATTGAAACTCCAGTTTCATATCAAGACATCTTGCTTTATTTCCAATCGTTCCCAATTTCCCAACAAAAACTGTAGCAAGTACAACTTTAGTACAACCGATGTTGAAATGAACACCGAAAACCAATTTTTATATTTTCAATTTTTCATCCACTTCTCGCTCTCTCTCAATTTAAATAATTTAAAATTGAAATTAGTTATATTTGTTGTCGTTCGATTGTTTTTTTTTGTTCTCCAACAAGCCTGGCATGTAAACGAGAGACACACATCACATACCGAATTGAGTTCGAGTCGTACTCGAAACAATTTTCCAATCATGGTCAGAAAATACAAATAAAAAATAAATATATACATGCATGTTCGATGAATTAAAAGTACACTAAATGTACTTATAGTTCTCTTTCATTCACGACTCGCGAGCCTCTTCAGTCCATCAATGTTCCACTCATGCACGTCATGTGTGTGTGTTAGTGAATATGTTTTTGCATCACACAACAAATATCTGAATTGCATGTTTGTTTTATAATGTTTTTTGGTTTAATTACATTCTCGAGATATGCATACCTACAAAATTTTCCATTAACTCTCCATGCTCTATGCTCATTGCTATGTTATTCAGCTATTGTGTCTCCATCTCACTCGCTCTGCCTTCGTTCTTTGTTTGTTTCTTCCAAACTTGATGGATTGTTGATAAAAAAAAAATGTTTGGAATTGAATTTTTTTTCTCTCTCGTGGATTCAAATGGGGCACGCTGTTAGGTGAGATGAGGGGGTGGTTGGATTGTTTCTTTAATCACATTATTTATGCCGGATTGTAATTGATAGTGAAATTGCAATTCTTTTTTTCTGTTTGATGATTTTTGAGAGAATAAAAATGCTTTTAGAGGCTTTTAGGATTTTAAAGTGGATTGTCGGTGCTTTTGGGCTTACAAATACTTCTTTTCAACAGAAGGATGATCTGAGGGAGAGGAGTAGTGATAAAATAATGGTCATTGTCTACCAGATGTCTAAGTAAGAGGTGACCTGGACTAAAGCCCTGGATGGATTTCCTTGTTACATCAAGACTCGTCTGTAGTACAATTATATACGCTTAACTTCAAATTATTTAGTTCTTGGTCATCAAAAATAAGGATTTACAGAATTAAGAGAGAAAGCAAGGAGGTGTAATGATTGCACGGCAGAAAAAAGTATTAAGTGACATTTCGCTAAGTTTCGCAGATATACCTGGTAGCTCAGTGTTAAGATTATGTGATTGAAACCCTTGTGAAGCTGAGTTCGATTCCTATTCAAAACAAGGCGATAGAAAAATGCAATTTATCTACGAATATTCAATAACTTGTTCCTCAAATGTAATAATTAAGTTTCATCAGTCCACTCTATGATAGGAGTCTATGTAAGGTCACTAATTTAAAACAACTCAAAAATTCTTCCATCAAATATCCAAATTACCCCAATACATTCTATCCATCACTACTGAATATTTTAAATTCTTTTTATATTATCTATCTCAACATTATTTTCGTTATTCTTTTGCATCTCATTGAACTATTTCATTGAAAAAACATTCATGTTTGATATTTGAATTTGTATAGATGGAAGGAACAAAAAAAATATTCAACATTTTACTATTTAATATCAAAAGTACGCATTTTGAATAATCAATGCGAATGTGAGAATTGCAATTGAAAATAACATGTTACTGATACACATTCCTATTTTGATGGACTTTTGTGGAGTTAGGAAGAGTTTAAAAAAAGGATTATTATGCTTGGGTTAAGGGTGCGGAACAGATAAATAAGGTTTTGAACAATTTTGATAGTTTTTGATCTTTTTTGAACAATTTTGATCATTTTTGGTCATTTTGATCAGTTTCGCACCCTTGGCTTGGGTATATAAAATTTAATTCTGTGAACAATTGGTCATTTTTGTCAACTTGAATTTAAAAGCTCAAATAATCGAAATAAATTCTAGGAGGAGACCCAATAAAGCATTATATAATGTCAAAAATGAATCTATGTCCCCAGATTAACCTCTCATAGAAACTCAATCAATCTTCACCCTAGTCCTACCTATTTGCAAATATTGCCTGCGTATGTTGATATTTCATCATGTTTTGTGTCTCTCATTCTCATCGAGTGCATTCAGACGAAGTAAAAATATTTTTTTCCCCATTGATACATGTAGGGTAAATACTTTTGAAAATTGCACACTTTTGAAATTTGCACACTCATATGAAAATAAAAAATACAAATTTCTCCCAGAATATCCACTTCTGATAATACTTTCTTCACAAAATCTTTGTATAATTATTGTACAAATGTTGTTGTACCATTTTAAGTTGTCTAAAGGCATCAGAAAGATGAATTCCTTCAGCAATCAATTTTTCATACAAAATGAAACTTTGCAAAATATTAAGTTTTGGGATACAATCAGTGGATTTATCAAATATTTGGATATCAAAAAATGTAGTTCTTAAGTTGTTTAAAATTTTGGAAGTATTTCTTTTGTGAAAGAATATGCGGAACTGCCCAAAAACTCACTTTTAAAAAAGCTTGTTTTCAACTTTTAAAATTTGCACAAAAATTTGTCGAAACTTTTGAAATTTGCATAGTTTTAAGCGTAGGAGGTATTGAAAAATTCGATGTAAACATTAATTCTTTTGATGTAAACATTAATTTTTCTGATTCAAAACATTAATGTTTTATGCCTGAAATGAATATAGCGATGAATGGGACTGTAGGAAAATTGAGAAAAATATTCAAAAATCATCGGTTATTGAAAATTTACCGAAAAAGGAGTTGAAAAAAGCAAGAAATTCACGAAGTCAAATTTTAAAAGGAGCAAGTGTTAAATTGTTTCTAAAGGATAAATCCATGATCAAGCAAAGAAATGGCATTAAAATAAAATAATAATTTGCGAATTTAAAAATAGAATTAGTCTTTATTTAATGATGAATGATAGGAATGAAATCAGCTTAAATATGAGATATCCATTTTAAGTACTTGATCTTTAGTTTTACATGTAATGGATCCTGTTTTGATTTCTTGTGCTTGACTTTTGAATTTTTTCTTCAATTTTCCTATAAATTTTCAACGACGATGCATGTGACGATATTAGAATAAGAAATCAGTAAAACTGTTATTAGATTTGAAAATTACCAGATGAAAATATTATTTCTTCTCCCAAAAAAATAAAAAAAAATAATTGTTTACATAAAATAAATACAAAATTGTCATGGATTGCTTTCAAAAAAGTGTGCAAATTTTAAAAGTTTTTTGTGCAAATTTTTAAAATTTCCATGCAAATTTCAAAAGTCAAAAATAAAACGCCTATATCTCTGCTAATATCCATCGTAGCTTTCAGAAAGAAGTTGCAAATGAAAATTTCCACAATTTTCAACAGCTCAAAAGTTTTTTAAAGCCTTAAAAATAATATGTTAAAAAGTTTCAAGCAAATGAAATTTTCATGTGCAAAGTTGTGCAAATTTCAAAAGTGTTTACCCTATATTTGAGTTTTATAGAGTAAACGTTGGTACGAAAAAGAAGTGAAAAAAACTTTCTCATTCCATGCTCTATTTCTCATGCATTCAGTCAGCCAGCCATACCCAATAAACACACATTGAAGTATTAAAAAAGATTACTTAATTATGTAATTACTTCCAATTTGATTCTTATTTTTCCTTCCTCTTTGTATCTATTTTTATACAACCACAAACGCACATACAAATAGACACATCAGACATAACAAGCTGCTGCTGCTGCTTACTATTTGCTGCTGCTATTTTAATTATCACATTGCCTAGCGTTTAACCCAGAAAATAGGAGGATATTCCTTGTTTGGTGTGTGATGAAAAGCAGACATAATAACGATCATGATTATATGCTTAGCATAAGAGAGAATGGATGGAGGGGGATGTAAGAGTGGCTTTTCGACTGCAAATTGAATTTAGGATAATTAAAAAAATTATTGCATGGAAATGAGAGATGATAGGCATTGATGGTTCTTGGACCATAAAAATGTTTATGGGATTTTTTTTAGAAATATTAGGATATATAATTACAAAATTGGTTAGTTATTGAATTAATAATAGGATGTATAGTAGATTTATTGAGGTTTTTTTGGATTTTTTTATGAGCTGATGGGTTTTTGGGGTTCAGATTCTTGTGGAATTCAAACTTTCACTGCACATGTATCTCCACATTTTGCCTGCTTTATTTAATAAATTTGTTGCACAGCAGGAGGTGCATAAGAAATGTTTGGAAGTAACTGATAGAAAAAATATAGTTTTAGGGGCATAGGAAGTGTGTATGTCGGCTTATCTAATTAAAAAAGATTGTCAAGACCCCGTTCAGCTTCATCTGCTATGTCCACTGGAACTTGAACCTTAAATTCTGAATTTATTTCTACAGATATACATCAATGAACTCAGTTTATTATAAATCCATAATCCTTTAATCATACAAAATTAATCATAAGCATTTCCTCAATTTCAGATCCGAAATTCTCAGCACCAATAACAAACGTGACAGCGGCAGTCGGTCGAGAAGCAGTATTAACGTGCCAAGTGCTAGATCTAGGTTCATATAAAGTAAGTATTTACCTTTAATATCGTCATTTTATTACAATAAATTCTATTTAATAAGAGTCATCATAAACAATAAATCCGAAAAAATTAGAACGAAAATTATATTTATAAGAACTAAAAGAATGCTAGTAAAGTTAGAAATGTAAATCGTATGAATTATGAAGCTTAAAATGCGAGACCTTAAAGACGTCTAATTTCAAAATCCATAATTTATTTCTCCAGGAATTTCAATACTCAACACGAAAGGCTCTGGTTGGTGTGGAAATTTATGAGTGTATGTGGATGTAAGGGTTTGTGGATATATTTTTGCGAAATTGGTGGAACATGCTGTCAGTTTGGGGGTGAGGTTCCTAACACATTTTTCATCATGGATATATTTACGATTTATAATTTTTTTTTTGTGTGAGAATCGTTAGTAATTATGTAATTAATTTAAGGGAGGGGGGGGGGGGGGTAGTGGTAGTTTCTATCAAGATTCTCATACATTACGTTTTGACACCTTACTTCCATATATAAGAATTACCAGCATATAGCAAGATTGAAGTCTAACCAGTTTAAAAGAAATTTCAAAAAATGCGCCTTAAACACCCTCAAGTCTAAATACTCCTCAACTTAAAGTTCTATTATTACTATTTTCGAAATGTTTAGCAATTTCCATCATAAAAACGTCAACAAAATTTCATGCTTAGCTGCCCATTTCTTGTTGTACGAGTATTTAGTCACTTTTAAGTACTTTTTCCTTCTTGTTCTTTCCATTCTACTTTCTTATGTTTATCCGTCTTAGAAATAATTCGCATTTATGCATTCAAATGTCTCAGTAATTCATATCGCATTGAATATAAAGTGTCTTTAATGTGAAGCCTTTCTTGTGTTTGTGGACGGTAAAGAAATTGTTTGCGGTTTTGTGATTTTTATTGAGTTTTTGGATTTTGTGGTGTTGTAGTGCTGTCTAGGGTGTTGAGGTTTATGTAGACAAATCTGCCAATCTGGAATGAAGGCCTCTGCAGGTTGAGTATTAAAGAAATCAATCAAGAATCTCTTAAAAAGCTCTTTGAACAGGATGTGGGTTCAATTCTTATTTAGATGCAAAAAGAACAATTTTCAAGCAGTTCCATTTAAAGAATACATAAATCCAAGGCCAAACCAGACAAAAAACTGCCTTACAGACTTCATTTACAAATTTGCAATAACAGCAAAAAATTCAAATAAAAACATTAATAAAACACAAGAACAAGCCTATAAAAAATTTCTACAATTTTCTTTATTTCCTTTAAGAATGAAAAACATTACAAAACGAATAAGTCAGACCTAAAGTGTAATTTTGATTTACGATTTGTCGAATTGTGAACTTTCCATCACTTTGTTTCTTCAGTCATAAATGAATTAAATTTTTAAAAAAAAATATTTCTTCCTTTTCTTTTGTTTCAGGTTGCATGGTTGCGTGTTGATACACAGACCATATTAACAATACAAAATAATGTCATCACAAAGAATCATCGTGTTGGAATTAGCTTTACAGAGAAAAAGACATGGCAGTTGAGACTGAAGGATGTGAGGGAGTCGGATAAAGGATGGTATGGTGGCTTGCTTATTTTGAGAGGGTTGTTGATTGGAAAGTGTGGAGTGTTATTTGAGGAGGTAGTCTTTTTGTATTAAAATTGGAACTATGGTCTAGTCAATAGTTGTACACCCCCTTTGCTCAAAAAAAGTATCACTTGCATACAAATGGCTGCAAAAGCTCAACATATTCTCTATTTCTATCAAAATATAACGTAATTCCATGCAGACTTTAATTTAAGGTAGTTGAGTACCCCTTTAATTTTAACGGAATAGTTTAATTATTGTGTACCCCTTTGACACAGCAGACTTATCTTTAATAAGTGGTAAAAATCATATTATTACAATCCAATCAAACTATCAAATTAAAACCAAAAGGCAACATTTTATCATAGTTGCATACCCCAAAAGTCCAAAATCTTAATTCAACCCTTCAAAAAATGCACCCACATTTTCGCTTAACAACCCAACAATATAATTAAAATTAATCCTCATTTCGACTATTTCATGCATACGCAACTCATTGTCATTGAAGGTACATGTGCCAGGTGAGATGATGTCAATAATTTTTAAACTTCCGGTCCTCAGACAATGAACTTTACTCAATTATATTACAGATCAATACTGACCCGATGAAAAGTCAAATGGGCTATCTTGATGTCGTAGGTAAAATAAATTTTCTTTCGTCTCGAAATTATATTCATGATTAATTTATACCGCAAAGTTGTGTGTCAACTGCCCCGACAGAGAGGAAAAGGTCACAAATACACATGAAATTCTTGTGATTTTCTATGTCATTTTCAATTTTCTGTCGGTGACTTTTTATTGCCTGATTTATTGCTGATTTATTTTCTCCGCACTTGTTAGGCTAGTTTGAAATAACAGTGGAAATAAAAGTAGTAGTCACACATTTCAAGTTGCTTTTTTTGACGACTAAGAACTTTTATTTCCTCATTGTTTGTGGATATATATGGCATGGATAAGTTTTGTTGCTACAAGGTGGTAATTGTAGAGGTTATAATGGAAGGAAAAAATGGTATAAAGGTAATGAAAAGTTTATATTTTTGATTCTAGGAATTCAATTATTTTTGAAGTCGTGACGTTAGAGGCATAGGGGTTATAACTTTAATTTGTGGGTATTAAATTCAGTAGAAAATATTTTAGTATCTGGAGAGGATGTAAATATGAAACACTATACTGGTAAACTTATTGGGTATAGTGTAGCTTTTAAGAGCCTAGTATATTAAATTACTGGTCGAAAGCTATGGTAAAAGTGTCAAGATATCGCTTATGACGTCCAACATTTAGGGGGGAGAGGAGCTCTAAAAATTTGTGACACATTGCAACAGGGGAGGGAGGAGTATTGACATCTGTGAGAGTTTTGTGACAGGGGGGAGGGGTTTAAAAATTATGTTTTTTTGATGGACGTCATAAGTGAACTATGATATGGTTTCATTAGTTCCAATTTGCAGGAATTCGAATTTAACCTTTTTGTGACAAATATTACGATGCTACCGAGAAGGTAAGCGACGGGTGTGAGGAGATAAAAATCTACCACCCAATCATTCCTCCGTGGATATACCACAGGATTCATGTATTGATCCAAAGAATTAATTTCATCAGAGTCCCTAAAATATAAAATAGAATTTCGACACTTAAAATATTTCACATAGATTAGGTTTCACACCCTCTTCACCATCCAACAATTCACATCTAAATCAATAAATCCGTGAATTCAAAAAAAAATAATGTTTATGATTATTTCATCATAAAAAAAATTCTTTCTTCTCCCTATTTTAATTCAATTTTCGATTTTCTAGTGGTGTGCTAAAGACAAAAGAGAAAACAAAGGCTGAATATGAGAAGGGAAAATTGAAATAAAGAGAGACGAAAAATATTCATATTGAGCTAAAAGTATATTATTAGATTTCTTTTCCATTCAAATTAGTAACAACTTTAAGTCACGATATAAATAAATTGCCTACCCCATGCCATTATCATCGGCAGTTATATTAACCACTAAGGTCGTCATCAGGAGTTGAAAGTTGCGATTTTAAGAGGTATTGGGGGTGTCCTGTTGACAGGGATGACTTAAGGGCAAAGGGGAACTTACTTGATTGGTAAAATTAAACATGTTGTCGACATAACCTTGAATTTTCAATTTCTTAACTCAAGGGGAAAACAGCATGGTGGTAAATCGCTTGAAAGTAGCAGAAAATTCCCTATCAAAACTGTTCCCTTCATATTGTTTTCCCCTTATCAGTACCCTTAGTTATTAATTACATTCTTGCATAACCTCAAAGTATTGAATGTTAATTAACAGTCAGATGGACATTGGAACCCCATCAAATCCCATTCAAGTTGAATAACCAAATAAACCTTTCAGGACTTAACTAGTTTAGTCATAAATCCCTACAATCCCCTGTTCTCCTTCCTTATTCAATTATTTATATTAAAAACTAAATTATTTGCATTTTATTTCTTCAATAGCTGCTTTTTCTATTGAGGCACAAAAGGCCACCGACAATGTAGAAGGCATAAAAAGAACTTTACTCCTTTCTTTTCAGCCAGAAGAATGTGTGTAAAAAAATAGGCAATAATAATAATAATTTTCCCCAACTTGCGGCTTATTACTATATTGACTGCTGATTTATGCAGTGGCGGAACTCTTTAACATTCCTAATTTTTTTCAACTTTTACATCTACAACATTTTCAGTGCCACCTGACATTCTCGACTTTCCAACAAGCACCGATATGATTGTACGCGAAGGAAGTAATGTCACATTAAAATGTGCAGCCATTGGCTCCCCGGCACCTATTATCACGTGGAGGCGAGAGCATGGTGAAAAAATTATGCTAGCCAACGATAGTGAAGGTAAGTGTTGTGACTTTTGAGGCTACACTGTGTGAGATAATGAGCGTTTGTTGTGATTTAATGGAAGAAATTTGAAGTGTTTTGGTGATTTGAAGAATGTGAGTTGAGTGGTGTTTTATGACGACTGATATGATTGAATGGTGTATGTTGTAAATTGGGGAGAATAAGGTGAATGATTTACATTGATTGGATTGATAAGGCGAGTGTAGGAGTAGTTGTAGAAGGGGTTAGTCTGAATTTGGTTACTTTTAATAAAGTTGTCCTAGTTATGCATTTTTAAGAGTGTAAGAATAATTCCTAAAAATTTCTTACTGAAGAGTTTGACGAGCCACTTGATTTAGATGAACTGAACAAACTTAAAGCTAAGCTAGAAGTCGACTAGAATTTATTTAAAGTTCACGTATTCAAACAAATTGAGAAGTACAAAATAATTGAGAAGTAATTGGATCAGACTTAATTATGACTACTTTTACTCACAGGACTTGAACCCGAGTCTCCTGAGTAGGAGACAATCATCGTAACCTTTGCGCTAATGCTTGTTCTGCGATTCGTATTTTTCCTATTGATATGACGCTATACAGTCCTGATATTCGAACCCACGAATTGAGACGTCTTTTAGCTTCTAATATCAAAAACTGTAATTTAACAATTAAATCTATGAATCACTGAAGCACATTAACCTTTTTCTGAAAAAAATACCCATTAAATAATCAATAATAATCTTATTAATCTAATGAACTTCCATAAAAATATTTTCTTCCAAAAAACTTCTTCCGATTCAACGAAAAAAAAATTCCAAATCCTACAGAAAACCTCGAACTTTCAGTCTATACCTCAACCATCGCTGCATAAAAAAAGCATCAACAATTTTTTTTTCTCATCTCTTTTCTTTTTATAGATTAAAAATGATATTTTTTTTTTCTCAATTTTTATGATGGCCAATACACAGCATTTGTATATCCATTTAGAAAATTGAATTCATTTGAATTTTTTATTTCAAGCTTCTGTGCTGCTTCCACTTTATACGTCTTTCAATGAACATAAAATCCCGCAGGATTTTTAGTAATTAGATCTTTTAGTGAAATGTAATGAGATATTTGGCATTCGGAATGGCAATTGCAATTTTATTGTGTCAATATATGAAGTCAAATGGATTAGTTTGGATGGAGGGTTTGGCAAGTAGAGAAATCATGCTAGAAGGTAGTGTAAAGCGCATTTTTGAAGGATTGCATGAATCGTTATCCTGACTTTTGTAGAACTTGAGTTGTGTCGTAGCTTAAGAACTGAACGAGTAGCAAATTCATATTAAATGGAAGCATAAAGCGCATTTTTTGAAGGATCTTGCGATTCATGGTCATTTGAGGTCGTCCATACAAAAATATCTAAGACAGTCAGCAAAATTCTTACCCAAACTCTTTATATTGCTCATATACTGAACCGAAACTCAATAAAATCTCATAAATAATCACTATAAAATTGACTCAATGTCTTCTTCGCACAATATATGCTATTTTGGCATATGCTAATGCCTAATGCAAATCAAATGCAATTATAAAATTGAAATGTTTCCAAATTAATATTTAAATGCCCATTATGTGTCACAACGCTGTCTGTGCTGTCTCGTTTTTATTAATTCAATAAAAGTTCCCCCTTTTTTGTACTCTGCTTGCTGCTCATAATAAACAATATTTCAGAGCTTATTGAATTTTATTTTGTTTCTTCCAATTTTCAGAACTGGCAATAGAAAATTAGTTTAAGTTTTATGCATTTTTGCTATCGTAAAATGGAGAAAATGCTCAATATTTTTTTTATGTTTTATTTCATCTCAATTTTTTTGTGGGTCAGAAGGTTCTTTTCTTGGTCTTGTCGATACTTCAAGTGTCAGATCTTTTTATTATTACACTCGTAAAAATTTATTGCCAGCAAGTTGATCGTGATGGACATTATTGGATGTGAATTGTTTATTTTTGAGTCATGTGAGGTATTTGGAAGAGGCATAGAAGTAAGCATAAATGGGTGGCACGTATACTAGAGATATCCTTGGTAGATGCCTTAGTAGAGTAAAATTCAAAATTTATTCCGAAATGTAGGTGAATTTGCTAGTTCATACTGAACTCTCTAAGACATCTATGGCTGAATGGTTAAACAACATACTGGATGTCTGTAACCTAAGCTTTGAAAGGATGTTAGTTCGATTCCTATCAGAAGCAGATCTCTCAATCATTACAAAGAGTGTTGTCGACATGACAATGATTTGAGCAATACTGACGACAGTGCTGTTTAGATTCTAGAGTCAGACTAGTCTTTAATTAACCGCAGTTTTGGAATTACTTAGCATTTCTCATCTAAAGATATCACAATGTCGTTACTTTTTAGTGCCATTCAACATAAATATGCTAGGTCGATGATTAGTCGAAAGATAATTAACTTTAATGATCAAAATTTGAGGTTAAGACTCCAAAAATTGAGGTTATAATGCTTAAATTCAGCATTCAACAATTCTTTCTTCAAAATCATTCAACCAACATTTCATATTTTTCGATCATTTCTTTCCAAAAAAAGCAATAAAAAGGTCATGAGCCGAAAAATAGTTAACATATTTTGCTATTCTTCTTCCACCTCCTCCAAACCTTCCAAAATAACTAGCACTAAATATATAAAAACACAGCAAAACTATCATAATAAAAGAATAAATGAAAAGAAATGAGACATAAGCAAATTTTCATTTTCCCTTCTATTTTTACTGCTGCCTTGATTTTTTTTCCTTTCCCTTTTCACCGGTTCCACAGAAACTATGTGTGCGTTAACCACACACAATATGAAAATGAATTTTTGTCTTGGGAAAAGTGGCGTATGTTTGGCAACAGAAGCAGAAGAGGAGAAAAAAGACATCAGAAATTGAAAAGGAAAAACCAATTGTGTTAAAGCACAAAAGGAGCAGTCGAACATACAATTTTCAATACGCACGTAAAGGAGCGACACAAAAAAACAAACTTTTACGACATTTCGATCGTTATTTTTATGTGATTTTGATACAATTTGAATTGTTTTTATTTTTATTTCTTCAGCTTGTGTGTGAACAATGCTCATGAATATATTTATGGTCTCGAGATGTCTATTGGTTTTGGTTGGGGTGGAAGTTTAAAAAGATGGGTTAGTCTGGTTTTGATGAGTGTGGTGGGTTAACTGCTTTAAGACATGACAAGTATTTATGAAGGGTTAGGGATTTGGGAGACTTAGTAGATGTGCTTATAGTTTGAATCTATGTGCTGGATTCTGGCATAATCAAGTAAGTTTAGCAAAAAAATGGACCAGGTTTTAAACAAGTAACAGTCCCACACAAGGGGCATACAACATGGTGGAAATTTTATGCATCATCAATTTACATTTTTTCAAAGGGGAGAACAACTTAATGGGAAAAAATATTGATAATTTTTTTTAACAATTTTCTATTGATTTCCTCCAGATTTTCACTTACTTCTCTTTAAAAAAATTTCCCATCAAAATATTGTCCCCTCAAGAATTGTTCAAAATTGGTATCAATTTCCAATCATGTTTTTTTTTCTTTGGTCCCTAATAATAATTCCCAACTTCACCTCCTCATCCAACTAAAACATAGTAATTAAATTATTTCATTGCTGTACAAAATCGAGCGATCAATTAAATTCCTTAATTACACATCAACGCAACTAATAATAAATGATACAGAAATAATAAAAATCAACTTTTGTGCCTCATTAGAGGCTTATTTAAGGTTTGATTTCATTGAATTATCATTAAAACATAAGCAATAATTAAGTCTTACAATTACAATTCTGCTATGCTATTATCATGTTGTGGTTGTGAACAGGCACTGTTAATATTCAAAGGGGCTGGAGCTTTGGTTGGTGGGTTCATTGGAGATTTTAATTAAAATACCTGAGAATTGACTCTTAAACTGTAGAGATTCACTAAGCAGGTGATTCCAACCTCAAAAAAATTCTTCTCCATAACCTCAAAAATTCCAATCAAAATCAAACTCATTTTCCACCCCTTTTATTCGTGTACATACCTATCCATTTCCCATTGTTTACTAATTATAGACTCTCAAGTGTGCATGACAAAGGAGTCTCCTGTTGATGTCAATGATAAGAGGAAATGACTTCATTTAACGTTTTTATATTCATTTTACGTCTTCTAGTTGCTTTTACTCGTCAAATCGTCATTATTATCATCGTCATCGTTGTCGGTCGCATGCTGACTTTCTTTTGTTTTCATCAAGTTTTTCTTTGAGACTTACTAGGAAAAATTAAGGTTAAGGTAAATTGAGTGTTGTGGGAAATTTTGTCAGAATTAGTTGAAAATTAAACGAATTTATTAAAAAAATTCAGATTTTTTCAAAATCGTTCAATTCAAAATTTCAAAAACCGTTAAAATTTGAATTCAAAAACCGTTGAATTTAAATTTTTAAACCCCGTTGAAAATTAAAGTCTCGATTTTTTTAAATAAAATTAAACATTTTGTCCAAAATAATCCTAAGGTCTACTCGCTAGACTAAAACATATCAGCATTATTGACAGTCGAGTTAAAAGCAAATTTTCTTCGCCCAACCAACAAAAAGAAATGAAAATGTTGAGGAATCCAAAAAGCAAAAGAACGTAGAAGCAAAAAAAAATTATGGAGATTGGCACAAAAAGACACAAAAATTAACAATATTACAACGACGAAATGAACTTTATTCCAATTTTTGTTTTGGTGTGTAATGAAAAAAGCCCACGAAGGGAAAAGATTGTTTTTCAGACTGCTTATTGGAATCAAGGGAGGAAATTTTCTTCACTAAACAACAATATCAAGTGAAAACGAATGAAAATTGAGCTATAAATTCAGAACATTTTTTTCTGTTGTAATATTCAATATCAATTAAATTGGAGATGAATTAATGGCGTATCTAAATGCATGCAAGGAAGGGGAGGAGAGGGGGGGGGGTGTTTGAAAAAAAATTTCTGTTTATTTAAATTTTTTTAAACCAACCAACTCAAATTTTAGAAGTGGAAATGCTACGGCTTAAGACACTGGAATGAATAACAAGCTGAGAATCAGATGGGTTAGATTGAGAGCTTTTTAGCAGTTCATGACAGGAATAGCTCGTTTAGAAAGATGTGGACTATCAGGTTTTTGGCTATGAACCATTTTAAACCTTCCCTTGGACTCAAAAGGGGACGTTATAGCTGAGATAATTTTTTGAAAATTAAAAAAGTGTCTCGTAAATTTAAAATTCAATCCAACCCAAAAAGCCCTTAAAAATCTTTACAAAACCCCCCAAAAAAGAGCTTCGCACCATTGAAAATTCTATAAAACAAAATAACAGCATAACAATAACAACAGCAAACAGCGATGATAATAGCAATAATAATTCCACACCATATCAGATTCATTGTCTATTAATATTCACTTTACCATGACGTTTTTATATCCCGTTACGGAAAAATAAAATCAAATATGATTAAGATTCAATTTGTTATGGCACTATCTATCCTATTTATTGCTGCCACCTGATATATTTCACGATGTAATACAAGAAGAATAGCTAGGAAATCGTATTGAACAATAGAAAGTTATGAAAATTGAATATATGGCTGTATGTGGGTGAGAAAAGTCAATGAATGGATGGCTGAGTAATATGTTCTGTGTTACGAACAAATGAATTGATATGAATTGAATAGAGGGCGATGAAAAGGCGAACTTTGTTGTTGATTTAGTGGCTGGAAAAAAAATGAAGATGGATCGATTTGAAGTTTTGTGTTTGGAAGTAGCGTGGCAAATTGAAGGATTGATGAGCTTTTTCAATGGTTTAGTAGCTAAAATTGATTTAGTTTTGTATTTTAAGTCAACGCCTTAATTTTTAATCGACGCTCTGGCTTTTAATTTTTTTGAGTCGCAGCTTTAATTTTTGAATTTAAGCTGTTGATTTTGTTATTGAACTTTAAGGTGTCGATTTAAAATTTGAACACTAAGTCGTAGCTTAAATTTTTATTTTTAAGTCGTAGCTTTAATTATTTGAACTTTAAGCCGTTGCTTTAATTTTTTGAGTTTAAGTCGGAGCTTTTATTTTTTGAGTTTAAGTCATAGCTTCAATTTTTCATCGTTTAAAATTTTCAAATTCTTAAGTCGCCGCTTTAAGACCTAGTTTAAAACTTCCGTTAATTATAAAGTATTTATCCGGGTCCATAATAATTAAATCTCATATTTTCTCATTTTTTCGTTCACGACTCAATTAAAAACACTCGAAACGGATGTCCACCATCACCATTATCATCACCATAAAAAAATAATCGATGAATAGTGCTTACAGTAGAAGGCGCAACACTGAACATTCCCCGAGTTAATCGTCTGCATATGGGATGTAAGTACACAGACTGCATTTATTCGATTCATTGTCATTCTTCCCCGAAAAAACAACAACAACAATCGATGACAATTTCATCCTTTTATATCCATATCCATATATCCCCTAAATAATTTCCGATTCAATAAACTGTGGAATTTTCTAAAAAAGTTCTCTTTTTGTTATTTTTACATCAATGCTTAGCATATTTGTGCATTGCATCTAATGGCGTTCCACCCTCGGTGTCTAAAAGGATCACACTCATTGTACATTGTACGTAATTTGCATTTAAATAATCTTAATTGAAATTTATATTATTGTTATGATGTGAACATGCTTCATATAATCTTTTAATTACAAATATTGTAATGCTCTTGTTGATTCTCTCATCTCAATCTTCTTTCCTTTTGTTCTTATTTATAGTTCCACCGATGATATCTGTTGGTAAGTTAATTAATTTATTATTAGTAGTTTGAGTGACGCATAAGGTATTTAAACTGTCATTTTCTAAATCAATGGTATTTTAGTCTGTGGTTGGGATTGTTATTTTAGTAGACATGAGTCATTATGAGTTGTAATGAAGTGATTATGAGCAGTTCAATTAGATTATTGAATAAAAATTGACGTTTTAGATTCAATTTCTCGAATGGCACAAGTCGGTTAATCGAATAGAAATCCTGCGCTTAGTCGGAATGACTCTTGCATTGTGCTGGCTTCGATTTAAATTCAGCACCATGCCAGATTCACACTAGCTTGGTGCCGGATTTCTGATCGATTAACCGACTTGTGCCATTCGGATTTGTAAGAAGCTAAGTGAAATTAACAACTACTTTACTAGGTTTTGTGTTTTTAGCGTGTTTAAATGGCTACTTTTGTTCAAAATCAGGCTTAGATAGAATCATAGGAACTGTAATGATTGGAGATAGTGCATACATGACCTAATCATTTATTCTTCTTACTTTTTAATAGCTAATCAACTAGTGGGAGCCTATGAAGGACAAAAAGTCACACTCGAGTGCCATTCGGAAGCGTATCCGAAATCTATCAATTATTTTATGAGGGAGAAAGGAGAAATAGTGCCGCAAGGTAAGTTATTGTTATGCATGAAATTAGATACGGAACATCTTCAATTCAGTTTAATAAGGAATAGTTTAAATGTAATGTCAGGCATGTTTAGGGCTCTTTACTCGTTAATCTAATTTTAGTGACCATCGAGATCCACATTTTGTGGCTCTAAACTTCCATAACATTATCAATTCAATTAAAATGTCTCACTCAGTTGAGCTTCTTTCCTTCCACATTTAAAACTTTATTCCTCATAATTCATTCATTTGAAAATAAATTTTATGAAAATTTTCCAATCAATTTTCGTCCCTGCTCGTCGCTTCACTTAGTCATATTAAATAATTTTTTGGACATTTATTAAATGAATAGATTCAATGGACAAGTGTGAAGTTCAGTTGTTAGGAAAATTATAATGACCAATTTGTGTACGAGTGCTCATAGAATGATAAATTGAAACAATTGAATTAAATTTGTTCCTGATTGAATTGATACAAGTTTTTGAAGAATTTTCATGTCCTTTATTTGTGTCTGTTTATAAATTTAATTGATATTTAACAAATTAGAATGACAATAATAGGATTAGGGATCTCAATAGGAAGTTTGATATTTAATAAGAGTGTTTTGATTAAGATATTGAGATAAATTGCAGTGGAAGTGGGAATAATAGGAGGATATGTAGTTGAATTTTGATATTGTGTATCAATTTTGAAAATAATTGCGATTAAGATTCAAGATAAGTCAATAAAATTTTCAAAATTAGTTCATTTTGTGAATTTTAAATGTAAATCTCGATCAAATTTATTGTATGTACACTATTTACTAGGAACATATCCAAAAGGAAGCTTCCCTGATTCCATTCTTGACTTTAAACCCATTTTTAATCAGTTTTTTTTCTATCAGAACCAGCAATGAACTCAACATCTCTTTAAACAAGCAAAAACATGCAAAATTGGAATTGAAAATTGATTTTTTTCCACTTCTTCATCCACATGCTCATTTTCTTATGTCACCACAAATGCTATTAAGAATGCTACTTCCTTCTTATTCCTTTCATTCCCTTTATGCGCCTTTTTTATATATTTTTTCTCACCAACCACAAAAGTGGAGCAAGAAATAAAAGACATTGGAAATTTGATACTTTTCTTCAGCTTTTATTTTCTTTCAATTTAAGCTTCACACAATGTATTGGGATAGACTGAGACAATTCAAATGAATGAATATATCGGTAATAATCAGTTCATGTAAATAAGTATTGAACAAAAGGATTGGAAAAGACATGAAAATTGTCCGGCTTTTGTTGTTTTTTGTGTGTGTGTCATTCAACCATGAAATTTATATTTTAAGTAATTTTGGTGTCTTGAGGGTGGATATGACATGAAAAGAGTTGATTCTTATTTGAATGTCGTTATAAGTTACGTCTACCAAAAAATTGTAGCCCCTTAAACAAATGTTTTGCATGCATTCAACAGATACCGTCCCCCACCTTCTTTACAAATTGCTCATCATTTATGAACGACTCCTTAACTTAAAGACTAATTTTAAAGGAATTTGACGCTTCAGCTCTCACAAACATCCTTTAACATTTGCGTCACCACATAAATCCACTACCAAATTAAAACTTTATTCCATATCTGCACATCATAAAATAAATTTTCAAATTTCAATTCAATTCTAAAAAGTTTTCATTGTCAAAATTAGCATAATAGCTCTAAAGAGAACAGAATTTAGACTAAATAGAATAAATATTATTCATATACACATGAGCATATGAGTCTATGTGTTCATGTTTATATCTCCACATCTATTTATCTTCAGAGCAACGGCACGAAAAATAAAATAAACATCAGGACCAAAAGTATCGGCAGCAGCTCAAGTCACACACCATCCACCGCTGCTTCAATTGGACTCGTGAGAATTGGTTGTTTTTGCTGATACTGTTGGGTTTGTGTGTACTTTGGTGTATGATTTTTTATTTTGGTGAATTTTCTTAAAGTTTTCGAGGGGGGTTGATGCATAAAGATGGTTGCAGTGAAGGGCTAAAACTATGTTGTCTATTTTGGGGAGAAGACAGGTGCATGGGCACTTAAAACATCAGATAAGGACATGAATGGGTTCCAAAACTGGGATCTAGTTACTTTTATGTTTACAAAAATTGTAGAGTAAGGAGTTGGTTCTCTCCATCTTTGCTAGGTTTCAGAACTATCCAGAATAAGAGTTAAAACACTCAATATTAAGATGAATAAAAATATTAAACCCCCTTCAAAATGCGCTCTAATCCTTGAATTCCACCTGCATTCCTTACTTGCTTCAATATTTTTCTATCTCTTAACACTCCGTATATTACTTTTTATGATCATCGCAATGAAACTCAGCAAGGACAGTATCGTCAACAACAATGTTTGTGGAAATCCCATTGCAATTTCACCTCAACGACTGCCATTATTATTTGGTTAATATTCAATCATCAGTTTAAGCACATCTACTAACCTTATTTCCATAACATTTTATATTTTAAATAAATTTTATATTCACAATTTAAACATTTCAATTTTCGCGTGTCTGTTCCGTTTAACTGCTGTCATTTTAGATGCATGTGAATTTTTTTTTTATATTTTTTATTTCTTTTTGCAGGTGGAAAATTTGAGACATCAATCAAGGACAATGCGTACAAGGTGCACATGAACTTAACGATAAAGTCAGTAAGTCAGAGTGATTTTGGCAGTTATATGTGTGTCGCGAAGAATTCACTTGGTGAAACTGACGGAACTATTAAACTTTACAGTTGAGTATAATTTGGAGGGTGGATGGATGGGCTGGTTAATCAAAATTCTAATTTCAAAACTTTTATTTGACAATAATTTCTTTGTAGAACTTCCACATGATGATGGCAATTACAATAATTGGTTGGAAGGAAGACGAAGAAAAGGTAAGAAAGGTAAATCAGAAGAATTTCTACTTGTAGGTGTATTTTTAGTGTAGAAGTTCTGTTTTAGGTTTTCTGGTTGCTAGGGATAAGTTGATGGTTTGTAGTTTGGCACAAAGGTGTTTAGGATGTCGTTTTAGAACAACGTTACATAACTTTAGAAAACTATAGCAGAGACACAATCACTTCTCTAGTACACCAAATTTCAAATATGATAAAACCATTAAAGCTTTAAATAATGTTTCCGTTAGTATTAAGTTCTTTACCGATATTCTTTTATATCATTGAACTTATATTAACTCTTTTAAATGTTAAGTAATGAGTAATGAAGGTTTTTATGCCGCTTGAAATAGTTTAAATACTTTTCAGGTGGCTTTTCCTTCTTGAAAATAATAATTGAATAAAAATAATAATAATAATAATAATAATAATAATAGAAGTAAAACTGTGAAATTTGAATGATTTTAAACAACAGTGGTTGGTGAGGGGGGGGGGGGAGGGTTTCGGTAAGAATCTAGTCTCTGCTCATACCAAATGTAGCTCCCCAATTTCCTAGGTTTTTAAAAATATGTAGCTACCTTCCTGATCCTCGATTCAAAGCAGTCTAAAGTAAACTTCAATAATAAATTAAATAAATTTTTAATTCAGCAAATCTTCAACTCTCCTCTAAAGTTTCCTTCATAATAAATCTTATCTTATTCTTACTTAGTAGTGTGCATGATGCCTAATCCTCAAGTTTTGAATTACTGTAACAATATCAACTTCTCATAATTTTACAATTTATATAATTTTTTCCAGCCAAACACAAAAAATTCAATAGTCAGATAGAGTCGAACAACATTGAAGACGATCCGGAAGGATCAAATAAACGGAAAGGTATTAAATAAATGGAAAAAAGTTTCAAATTAAATCTTTTTTATTTAAATTAAATTTTCTATTTTTTTAGAGCTGATGATCGGAAATCCCGATGACACTTACGACTATTCATGTTCGATGTCTGTTGCTTGTCATTATCAAGTCATCCTTACATCAATATCGATTGCTTCTCTTGTAATGTATTTGCTCAACTGATGATATAGAAAATATTAATTAATTAAATATCAATTTATAGAGAATGTTATGTAGCTATTGTAAGAAATATAAGGTTGAAAAAAAAAATGGAAGGTAGTTTTGAGTGACATGAAAGGATTTTATAAAATGACGGACGTACATAATTGGTTTCATTGTTTTTTGGAGACAAATTTAAATTTTTATTGAATTTTTTTGCTGTGTTTCTTTTCGGAGTTTAAGAGATCTGGTGGCTGTCGGTATAGAGACGGTCCTTAAGTACGATTATCCATTTTAAAACAAAAAAGGCCAAACATATATAAAAATGCGGGACACTGACATTTTTGACGTAAATTTGGAATGATTCTGGATTCAAATCGAAGCCAGCACCATGCCAGAATCATGCCGGATTACTATTGGATTAACCAACTTCTGCTATTTGGACCAATGCTGCTTTTATTTATTAAAATGAATAATTTGAGGGTATTTACAAAAATCTTTCATGCTACTCAAGACGTAAAAACTGAATATAATATTCCGCAAAGAAAATAGTATTAAAAAAATTATAATTAATTTTTAAGAAATTGAATTATGTTAGATTACAACAAAATGAAAGAATTTAATAGTAAAAAATGAAAATATTTAAACTTATCATTTTATTGAGTAAGAGCGGATAAGATATAATGGTTAAATGTTTAAGTTAGATTGTAAGAATGTTAATTAATATCCACGATGCATTTGTTAATTTTTACAAAACAACAAACAACGGAAAAACCATTTGAACATCATTTTGGATTTAAAATATTTTGCATAAAAATCCAGAGCTTAAAGTCGATTTGGTTCAAAACAACTCGATTCAACTTGATTCAAAACGATTCAACTTGAGTCGTCTCGATTTAACTTATGTCAAATCGAGTAAACTTGCTTCAATTTGATTAAACTTGAGTCATCTTGTTTTAACTTGAGTCATATCGATTCAACTTGATTCATCTCGATTCAACTTGATTCATCTTGATTCAACTTGAGTCTTCTCGATTCAACTTGAGTCATCTTGTTTCAACTTGAGTCATCTTGATTCAACTTGAAACATTTCCATTCAACTTGAGTCATCTTGTTTCAACTTGAGTCAAATCAAGAGAATTCGAGTCAGTTTATTTCAAATCAAATTTGTACAGAGTTAAATCAAGTCCAATTTAAATTTTGTATTTTTTTCTTCAAAAGTTATTCAAAACTTAATTTTACACGCTTCTAATGAATCATCGCAACTAAATTATAAATTTCAAAAACATTTATTTGCTTTTCATTTTAATCTTTTATTTTTAAAACCATAAAACCGATGTTGTTAATTGATCCTAGTTTAAATATTTACTCAATTATTAAAAATACAGAGAAATAAAAAAAAAATGTAATTATTTTAATAAAGTTATTAATAATCTACTGTAAATGTTGAATGAAATATAAATGCCGAAAGTGACATGAAGATGAATGAGATTAGAACCTTTTACAAATTAATTTCATTTCAATGTGAATAAAACCGAATAATTAATTAATTGAGATAGTTGATACATTGTAATTTGTTGAATATTTATTAGCTTATGGATGCGGGGAGTATTTGGAATATGAAAAATTTAAAACCAGACAGCAATTAATGTAAATTTTAGTTTTAATATTCGAAAATAATTTTAAAATTTATTGTAAATCCTTAAAATTGATTTAAATAAGACTGCTTATGATAACCCTTAAAAAAATTCCCAAAAGAGTCCTAAAAATGAGGTCAAATTGTTGTTGTCTTATCAGGAATAATGAAATATATTTAAGATATTGCTTAAAATGACAGATATGAGGCGCAATATACGTGAATAAAAGCTTTAATGCTTGTAAGATAATAAAAGTATTTAAAAATTGTAAGTAGAATTCTTTTGGATGATTTAGATTATGTCAATAGCCAGTTGTATGCATGACTAGGAGTTATTGTCCTGCTTCTTCTCAATTATGAGTGTTTTGAGCATGAATGTAACCAAAAGAGTTTTAGAAGTTCAGTACGACAACTTAATCTCCAATAATGTTAAGGCTGAGTAAAGAAGAGCTTAGAATATCTACAGGACCAGTTCTAAGCGACTCTAAGCAAGTATAAGTTAAGCAACAGACCAGATAGCTATTACTTTCTCTTTTTATGAGAACTCCAAGTTCGACTCCAAATTATCAAGTCAAAATAAATCCTTAATTTCAAGTTTTGTAGCATAAGTTGTTCTGCATAAGAAAAGAGCTCATTAAAATGAAGCTGGCATTTTATGAATCATCCTTAAATTTTAACAAACAATTAATATTAAAATATTAAAATAAATATTTATTGTAAAGTTGTGTAATTTATTTTAATGAATGTCAAAAAATTTTGATAAATTTTCATTGAAAAAAATAAAATCTTTGAAAATTTGTCAAAATTTTTCAAGAATTGAAATCGTAAATAAATTTTGTAACATGTATTAAAAATGATGAAAATATTACCCAAATAGACGAAGAAGAAAGTATAACAAATAATAAAAATTGATAAAAAAATTCGGAAAATTTTATGAAATTATTGAATTTTTGTGATTAAATTTTTATTGTTTTAACTTATTTCAGGAGTAAAATATTTTAAAAATTGTGAAGTCTCAAAGGAAACTTGGTAGAACTTACTCTGACACGAATAAAATTTAATATAACTCAAAGAGTCTCGAGTTTTGCAATTTGTTGTTTAAATCCTTGAATCCAAAACATAAATCCTTCATTTTAAAGTTAATCTTGCAGGAAGTAGAATTTTCTGCAACGTACTTGAAAAGTTCAAATATTGAAAGCTCACGAAAAAATAAAGTGTCTTAAAAGAAAATTCAGGAAAATCTTAAATTTAATGTGTCTTGGCTAAAAGCTTTTCGTAATTCTACTGTAAATGGAAAAACAGATTTTTTTCAAAATGCAATGGGATTATAAGAAATTTTATTGTTTTAAATCTCCTGATACCCCCCCCCCCCCCCCCCCCCCCCAACACCCACTGTAATGTAGGAAGTGAAAGGCCTTGGTCCTAAGATTATAAAATGATTTACCAGATGTCATCAAATATTAATTTTCTGAATTTTACTTATTTTTCTTAAATCTCAAAGTTTATAAAAAATTTATAAATTCGATAATAATTTTAAATTTTTTTCAGTTTTAAAACCTCAATTATTTTTCATAATTTAATCAATTCCAACAAAATAAAATTTCCATTAAAAGATTATTCAACTTAATTTCATCGTTCGTTTACCACAAATAAGATTTCAACGTCTTTTTTTCGTTTTTAAACAAAAATGAAGAAATTGAATTAATTAAATTATAAAGCAAAGTTAATTCTTTATTTATTTAATGAGCCATAATTTGACAAAGGCAATTAATTAGCTTTTGATGGTGACTTCCTTTGAAAATTGTAGTTTTATTTCTTTTTTAATCCGAATTGATTTTAATCTATTAAAAACAATCTAATAAATTAAATATATTTGAATCTTCTGAAATGAAAGTTAATTCTATTCGTTGAAGAGGGGGGGGGAGGGTTATTTCTCATCGGACGTGATGTTTTTGATTATTAGTTTAAAAAAAATTCCAATATTCGATTGCATGCTGCAGGACACCCTTCTGAGCTCCATTTTAACACATCAACATTCCTGAAAATAATTTTAATTTCAAAATTCAAAACAATTTTCCTTTAAGCCAAACAAAGTTTTTTTTTCATATTTCCCAGGACTTTTCCCCTTATTTTTATTTATTTTTCATTAATCTTTTTTTTTGTAATTTACAACTTTATTTTATTCATTTAGTTTATCAATATTCATTTATTTTTATGCAAGTTTTATACAATTTTTATTTTATTTATAATATTTTCTTTTTCATTTTATAATTTTTCATTCATTGATTGAGCGAGTATATTTCTTTTTCTTATATTTTTAACATCTTTAACTTTATATTTACTTCTTTGTAACAGAAACAAATTTACAAAAATATTTTAAATTAAGATTTTTTTCTTTCTGTGCAACTTAAAAGTTGAATTTCAAATGGAGCAAATTTTTAAAATTGTACTTTAATAAGTCGTAGACATGATTTCTTTCTTCTAATTTAATAATTTTCAATCCTCGATCAAAAGTACTTTTTCAATTAAAAATCGATTAAATTCAAAATTATAAATTTGTGCACTTTTATTGAAATTTAATTTGATGATTAAAAACTTTTTGTTGTTTAAATTATTAAAAAATTAAAATTATTTTTATTGCTTTTCCGATGACTTTTGGACTCTTTAACTGAATTTGAGTTTCAGATAATTGAAAAGCAGAAAAATTCAAATTTCATTGAAAAAAAAAATTACCAATTTTTATAACTCAATAATTTTCAAAAACAAAATTTTTTAAATGTCAAAATCAATTCAATGTTCAAAAGTTAAATTAAGATTTTATAATTTCATTTTTTAACTGTGTTTTAATTTTTTGATTCGTTCAGAGTCCTCAAGTCATGACTATTATTTTTTGAACTTCAAAAATCTTCGCTTTCATTTCTATTATTGTATAAATTCGTCTGCAGGAACTTCTTTATGCTAGTTTAACCAAACAAAATTTATTGTACACTCAACACATATTAAAAACATAAAAGATTCCATAAAAGCTTCCAAAAATTTTACATTTTCTTTTCTTAATTTTTAAAAAAATATTAAAAATTCGTCATAAGCATTTGTTCTATAAAAAATTTCATCCTACTTCCTTCATTTCTCATAACAAATAAACAAATCAATAAGAAAACTCAATGAAGATAAATCTGTAAGCAACAATAACATAAAAGTGAATAAATTAATGCTGCTAATGTCTGTGACGACAGCCGACTTGTTGATGAAGCTATCTCGTTCTCCTTCATCTTCTGTACTTCTGTGCTTGATATACTTTCACTTTGGTGGCGATGATCTGAAATGAAACAGAAGAAAAAGAGAAAAACATAAAGTTAAAAAAAAGTTTTGAGCTGTTTTGAGTGAAAACAAATTTTTTGTGAAAAATATACAACAGGTTGGGCTTTAAGTGGGACATTGAATGCTATGAGAGTCTAAAGGCTATGTTTTCGAGGACAATAATTCAATTTGGTATGATTTGACTTTTGTGGCAGTTTTTTTTCAAATTTGCAGCCAATGGCTGAATTATAGCTTTAATTGAGAGTTTTTTTTCTGTTGATGCTTTTCTCATCTCCTTGAAATTCGTCATCTACAATTTATAGTTTAAGCTGAATACAGCCACTAAGTTAGATTATGAATCTTTAAAGCTTTATTATTCCCAAAAACAAGTAAGTAAGCATCACAAATAATTTCCAAATCGCTAATCTTCAATCCAAAAACAAGCCATCCCACAAAACTACCCAAAAAAATCGAAGCTCCACCAATCGATATCATCCCTCACTAATGATCTACTAAACTTTATGTTTATTACTCAAATTTTATATCCCCACATACATCCATGAAAAATAAAAATTCTCTTCCGATTTTATTGCTAACAAGTTTCTAATAATGTTCAATTTCATCTTCATCTTCAGCTCTAAAAAATGAGAGCCAAGAATGGATGTAAGCATAAACTTCAAAACGTGTATGACATGAAATGGAAAGACAGAAGTGCAATAGTAAGGACGTTAGTTGATTGCATAATTAGATTCCATTTATGTACAGGCCGCATAAAGACCAGCACAAGAAAAAAATATGTATAAATTCATGTACAATAATCAGCATTGAGTACGGAATATAATGATGATTACAATTAAGTGCTTAAAACATTTGTCGACAGTGAGGCATAAGAATAAAAGTTATAGTGGATAAGATGACATTGTGAATTTTATTACACACACAAAAACGAATTGAGAGAGAAACTGATCATGATTATTATGATATTCGATGTGAATATTGAGTGGATGGAATAAAATTTGACTCAAATTAAGAATGTGAATGAGATAAGAATGGACGAAAGAACTTTTACGTGCTGGGATTTTTACAAGACGGAATTGAAGATGAAGGAAGTAATGTTAATTTAGTTTGATTATTTATTCGGCATTTTTTTTTCGTCGCTGGTGCGGAAAAATTCCCGACTTTTTGGAATGCTCTGTAAGGAAAGGCACATTGCGCTGAGATTGTATGGATCACTATTAGGTCTGGTTTTTCCTACCAACCGTAATTTTGATGAGTCCCACACAAGACTTTATAGGACTTTATAATTATGAGATTTGCTATATAGCAGAAAAAGAAGGTAATAATGGTTTTTTAGAGGCTATGGGTTGCATTAAAGTATAGTCAATCTACATTGAGTTTTGAGCTTCAGCAACAAATCCAAAGTTTAAAGTCAAAAGCATTTAAGACCAAACTCAAAAATATCACATTTCAAAATTTTCGTCATCTTAAATGTTAGACATCATTTGTGGACGACCCCATAGATAGCAAATATTAAATTATGCTCAAATGTTAGAAAACAACAATTTTTCTTAGAAATTATTGTAAGGAATTTTCAAAAACAACTGAAATGTTCATATGATAACCCCCCTACAAAAATACAAGAACCCCTACTCCGATACTCAATAGAGTGCATTTTAATATTAAATAATGCAAATTCCAATTAACTCAGATTTCAAGAATTTTTATGTTTTGCTTATTAAATTCCTAAATTTCATTTGAATCGAAAATGATTGATGATTTTAAGACCAATAATCGTTTAACGTCTTTAACTTCAAAGTTATGAATCTCATTCTTTCGTTTTATTTTATAAACCATCGATTCCGGCTCAATTTTCATATTAATGTGCGGCTTTAGAGAATATTAACATATTTATCTTCCTTTTGCCTACCAAGAATAGACCACGAATTTAATTAAATTTGTGTAATGAAGAAGAAATGAAAGCTAAGAGAGCTAATCGAATTTATTCTTAGGTAGAATGAAAAGAAGAGAAAAAGACAAAAATGAATGGAATCAAGTTCCATTTTTTGGCTAGAAAGCTTTTTTTTTCAACGAAAAAAAAAAAAATGTACTATAAATTTATTGATTTTCAATAAAGTTCAAAAACTTTAGTTGAAATGTAAAATTGCAAAAAAATTATATTCCCATACCGGGATTCGAACCCGGGTCGTCACGGTGAGAGCGTGAAATCCTAAACCACTAGACTATATGGGACTTTGGTATGTAAATGTATTGCGAACCTATAAACTTTATATATTTTATCAACAATTAGGAAAAATGAAAAGAAAAGCAAAAACGTTAACAGCACATAGCGTTCCCAAGCGGTCACCCATCTAAGTACTAACTATGCTCGACGTTGCTTAACTTCAGTGATCGGACGAGAACTGGTGCTTTCAACGTGATATGGTCGTTAACTGGAGAATGATTTGCTGCTTGCTCTATTTAAATATCACAAAGTCATGAAAATCTGTTGATTAGCAATAGCATGAAGCAATTACAGTTTACTTGGTCCTCTTTAAAGGAAATTTAAATAAATAAAGAATCACAAAAAAATTATTTTAAATAAAGCAAGCAGCAAAAGTTTCTTCAGTTAACGACCATATCACGTTGAATGCACCAGTTCTCGTCCGATCACTGAAGTTAAGCAACGTCGAGCATAGTTAGTACTTAGATGGGTGACCGCTTGGGAACGCTATGTGCTGTTAACCTTTTTGCAGCTTAATCCTATAAATGTTCCTTTTTGCATCATCAAAAGTATTTTGTTAAAAATCAGTTCCAATTCCATCCCAAAGTGATTTTTTTCATTCCCAATTTCCTCAAAACAAGTATCCAAAAATAGACGTCGACATCCCGACGAATTATCAATGCCAGCCATCTATAAACTCACAGATGAGCCATAGCCACGAGAAAGGAATAAAAATGTAAGCGATCGAATATTTTAATAGAATCAGTTAGCGAGCAAAAAAAAAAATGTAAATTAAATGTAACGTCAATGACATTAATACCCCTGTCTCTGGTGTCTGAATTCCGATTATTATTATTATTTGATGTCCCTCCATTTTTATGTGTTAAATACTCTTCGCGTGTTTTGTGATTTGATTTCTCTACAAAATATACAAAAGAAGAAGAGAAAGAAGAAAAAGGAAGAAGAGAAGGTGGATGGAAACAAGTGAGATGATAAGTGTTAGTTGATGTGTATTTACAAGGTTTTGGATTAATAGAAGTGATAAAATTAATAAAGTGGAATTAAAAGCTACAGGATTAAGGAATATAAACGTGCAAAAATGTGAATTCTAAAGACTTTACTACTTTAATTGTTTAAAAATTTGTAAACTTTCTGACTAATAAGTTCATATGATTAAAGAAATAAAGCTATTTTATATTCATTAAGCATCAAAAACTATCAAGAAAAAAAAATCCATACTCGAGTATGTCTTCTAAACCACAACATCAAATTAAGCAAATGACAAAATAAGCGAATAATATTTATTGTAGAATTTGAAGCATGTGCAGCAGCATATAATGATACATTTTGTAAAAAAACATGCAAAAGAGAGAAAAATAAGCTTTCCCTTGACTTTTTTTATAGCACAACTTCATCAATTTTTTTCAATGGAATTCAATACAAAAGGAATAATGTCAGGTTTGTGCGATGTCACAATATTACAAAGTTGTGTGATGACAAACTGGTTGATTAGCTGATTATTGTCTTAATATATGCGCTAGTCTTTGTGGTTCACTATGGTGTCCTATAATGTTATCCGGTATAGACAAAGTTTATTCTCGACTTGAGTATGGTCCTGCATGTGCCGATTGAAACCGAGCTCAGAGACTCCCTCCTCTTCAGTTATTATGAATTACTTGAGCAAAATCATTTCAAAGGCAACATAAAGATCCTACGAATAATCTTGATAAGTCACTGCAAAAAACAAGCTTGTCAATAGCTTCAACTTTGCAACTTAACGACTAATTCATAACTTGCTTACTTGGACGCAGGATAGAGGCAAAATCGAAACTGTAAATAACTGTAAGACGAATATAACCTCAATGTTTTTAGAGTCATTCCACATAACTTCAAATGACTTCATACAATATACAAGCTTCCCTACCACCATGGACCACTTACACATGTCCCTAAATCATTGGCTTTACACGACTTCACAAATGGCTTCACATGGCTTCGGTTTTAGAGTCAGGGAGGGAATGGGGTGTTTATATTATAGATGACGGAATCCAAAATGGCGATTTTTTTTTGTTTATTTTGATCTCATTTATTCCTGGATATCCTACTAGTATTTCATACTATACATATCACTTAAACCTTCAAAAAGCGCTCTATATCCCAACATATGTTCTCAAAAGTTTTCAACTTGGTATCCACAACTTTTTTTCCCTTCCAAATTCACTCCCCTTATTAAAATTACTCAAAGATCTGTAAAATGATGTCTGGGAATGGTGATCGACAAGAGAGTGACATTAAAGCCGCATGTGGAGTATGTGACCAATAGGGCTCACACCGCATTAAGACAGCTTTATCCGCTCATCAGCAGGAACTCACAACTCGACGTACGAAACAAACTTCTCATCTACAAGCTAGCCATCAGACCAATATTCACATATGGTTGTCCAGCGTTTGGAAGCATGGCAAAAACCCATCTTCAAAAACTTCAAGTACTGCAAAACAAATTCTTGAGAATTGTTCTCAATAAAACAAGATATGAAAGGATCACCGATCTTCATACAGAAGCGAAAATACCGTCCATCGAAGACTACGTCGGAAAGTTGCAAGCGAACTTCAACAGTCGTCTTGCATCTCAAAACACCGAATAAATCAAATGAAATACAAAAGAAAGTAAAATCCGTAAATGAAATCAAAATTAAGAGACAAAAGGCAAATTGAATGCCTGAAACCTTAAAACAAAAAGCAACAAAATGTATAGAAACTTTGTACATACTTAAATTTAAATGTAAATAAATAAAAAGTTTAATTTAAAAAAAAAAAAAAATGTAAAATGATGCAGGGAAATAAATACAGATGGAAATGTTTATTTAAAGTCGGTTGAATTGAACTCTTGACTCAGTTTTTTTGGGTCAATGGATTCGAATCATGCATTTGTGATACTTTATTTGTGATGTTAATGATAAGAAGATGGTGCCTTGATGTTGAGGATGTTTTTATGATTGCAGATTGTGCAGTTGATGTTGTTTAGAATTTGCAATTTTAACTCAAATTTGTTTGATTTTTGAGGCTATAAAATTGAGTCCTTGATATTTTATAATTTTTACAGACATATTGAAAATTGAAATTCTCGAGTGATTGATTTTACATTGAAATTTCTCAAGAAATTTAATAAAATTTTAAGATAGAATTTGATGAGTGTATGTAATCGATACTGATCTGAAGATTGGAATTATTTTGAATTCATCCAGAAAATTGATATTTGTTCTTTATGGAAATTTTGTGTTATTAAATTTTATTGTTTTTAAAACTTAAAGAATTTTGAAAATTTCGGAGATTCTGAGGTTTAAATAATGAATTTCTATACTTAGTATTTAAGTTTATTTTAGACTAAACTCAAATCAGAAGTAAATCTTGTTGAAACGGACCAGAGGGTAGAAATTGATGGGATTCTACGGTTAAACTAAGACGCTAATGGAATCAAAATTTACAAATGTTAATTAGACTTTATACTTGGCAACACTAGATCACATCTATCGCACCAGGTTGCAGCTTTTGAACACTTAGTTTTCCTCGTTATACTCTACATAATATAATGTGTGAAGGGCCCAGCCTTTCAGCTGGAGGCACTGCGATTCAAAATACTCTATACTCTATACTCTATACTCTACATAACTGTTTATCAAAATTTTTCGGTTCACGGCATATTTCTACAGTTAAAATTTTTCGTGGCACACCAGAAAAGGCAAACCAGTGTACCGTGGCACAGCTCTAGATCAAACCGGTTCAACCCAAAGTCATATGGACCGCTATGTTGCAAGCTAGGCTAAAAGCTAGGAAAACTATAGTCACATAAGTTTGTAAGACTATAATTGCGATAGAAGATCGAATGTTCTCGAAACTATGTGCCGCGACACACTAAAGTGCCGCAGAAAACTTTTGAAAACACAACAAACCCCACGTCCTGTGCAATATTGGTCATGGCTTACTATCAATGTGTGCCATTGCTCAAAAGTTTGGACAACACTGTCCTATGGTATATTGACTAGCCCATACTTGTTTCCATCCTCTTGTCGCACCAATAATCTTAGTCAAAATAATCATCCATAATATTAAGCAGCCCCCAAACCAACCAGCAGACTACTCCACTTTATTTTATTTTCACAAGAAGCATTAAAATTTCACCCGAAAAAATAACAATAAACGCATGCATGCAACAAAAAAAAAAATCGACAGACAAAAACTAGTCATTCCTCAATTGTTTATTCACTTCGCATAAGGCAATGACCATGACATCCAACAACATAAAATTAAACAAGAGCAAAAATAAAGATGATAAAAAATTTATTTTTCATATGAATGCATAACATGGAAGTATCATGCACATATCATGAATATATAGAGCATAACAGCATAACAGTGTAGGAAAATTGAGAATATGAACACATATGAAGTACTTTTAATGCTTACCAATCATATTAGGATGTACAGCTGTCGTAGTCACCATTCGGGTAGTCGTTGTTGTTGGCGGAAGTGTTGTTTGCAATGTTGCTTGCGGTATGTCTAACGATAAAAAGAATAAAGAAGAGGAAATAATGGGAAAAATTGAATTAAAAAGAAATTTTCTGTTAACTGAATCTTTTTGTTGTTGTGACTGAAAAAGTCAGACGACAAAATCAATTTTTGGTGGATTATATGTGGTAGCAAAAGTTCAGAAAGTTGCTTGATCCAGCAACACCACACAAATCCCGATCATCATCATCCTCATCAACATAATCTTCATTCAATTGAACTACTCTGTAGTTGTGCATGTATATGTCTGTTTACATAAAACTCAATTCAGATCAAAATCAAATCAATTGAAATTCATTTGTCGGATGGTGAGTCTTTTTTGAAAATGGACATGGATGTTGTTGGATTGGAGGTTTTAAGCTTAAATAGTTGAAATTTTAATCTGATTTGGGTTTTAAGGTTTTTGCAACTTAAAACGGGTTCAAACTAAATTATAGGTTCTTCATTAGAGAGAGAGAGGGGTAGTGAGAAAGGGAGGGGGGAGGTAGCTACGAATTTGGTGCACCGGGTCCCATTAATAAAACTTTCCGTAATGATTCTGAAATGTCAAAACTATATTTCAATGGCGTCACCAAGAGGGGGAACTTATATGGATTTCTAACCCCCCCCCCCCCCCCCAAAGTTTTTCATTCAAAAAGTTCAAAATGTAAAGCCTCAAAAAATTCCTTGCTCCGCTTCTGATATATGCTAGACTAAATTTGATTATATCTATTAGAGGCATGTTTATAGAAGGCGGAATGGAGTTGATGACCCCCCCACCCCCCATTTTTTGGAAACTCCTTTCAATTTGATATGGTTTTTTTTTGAGAAAATAAATCCTAAGCCTTCATTAATTTTTCAGTATATCCAAAAAAAATTAACCTTTACCCCTGGCATCGAAAACATTTTAGCTAACCCCTTAAATTTCAAATATAAACTTATTTAAAAAACCTGACACAAAATAACAGAAATTTTCCTCAAAATTAAATTTTATCATTTTCATCCTGGTCAATTCCAAAACTATGTTTTCTGTTCCATTTCCACTAAACCTAAGTTTACACAACACAACATCACAATTTACAATTAAACATGTGCGAAACCACAAAAACCCCATGGAGAAAAAAAAATTGTATTCAATTCATGCTACAGTTGGCACATCTACTACATAATGTTAGACGTCTGAATCGGAACTATGTGGAATGGATTGATTCAAAAAAAAAAATTAAAAATTTTATTCCAATGTTCTTTTTTTATTGCAATATGACACATGAGTAAATTTTATTGTTGACGATGATCGAATTTCCTCCTCGCATCTTTGCTACTCAACATTTTTTTTAGAAATTTGATTAATTTCTATAGAGTTGGTAAGGATAATAAAAAAAAAGATGAAAATGAAATTACTGCACTATGCAAATAATCATCGTTATGATGATGCTGGTGGCAGAAGCGAAATGAGAGTTATGGACAGTTGAACTTGAAAAATTCATATTTGATGTTTGATGCTGTAGAGGATGATAAAAAAAATTTATTTCAAATATTCATCACTGAATTGCGGAATTGAAATGACATAGGAGTTCATGCATTCATGACGATGGCGTCAATTGTAATGGCTTGACATAAATTTGGTAGAGGATGAAAATTAACATGAAATTTTGACATTAATATGAGGAAATGAATTCGTTATGGAGATTTGTTTGGGTTTTTGATTAGCTTTGTTTGTTTTATGGATGGAATTAAGGTGAGATATTTACAGAATGAATGCTGTTGATTTTTGGGGGATTCTTAGTAGCTGCATGTGCGCTTTATTTAATTTATAATTTCAAAAAAATATCAAATTATTTTAAATTATTAAAAACTAGTCTCAGCCAATTAATTTTCAAAAAAATCCTTTAAACCCCTTCAAAACTGCCAATTTTTCAATTCCAAAAATCTTTCCTAGAACAAAATTTATAAATTCTGAAAAAAATTCTCAAAATATCACAGAAAAAATACCTCATATGCTCATTCACAAATAAATAATTTCAAAAAAATTCCAATTTCAAGCATAAAAAATAGAAAAGAAATAAAGGTACAAGTAGGGGAAAATTCTTTTATTTCATTTTCAGATTTTTCTTCACTTCTTTTCTTTCCACACAAAATCGAAAAAAAAAATCCGATGAGGAACAAGTCATGTATAAAAATATAATGATGTTGAATGAAAAGCGCTCAAACGGGAGTCAGCAAAAATTGTGCAAAATTTACATATAAATATAATTTTATTATTTCACATTTTTTTTCTTATGTGTGCTTCAGTTTCTTGTGTGTTTTGTGTGCTAACAGCTATTTCTTCTCTTACTCTTTATTTCCTTGCTATTTACATAAAAGGAGGATTTGAAGAGGTTATTGGAGTTCGATTTGTCCGATTCGATCTTGTCTAGGCAAAAGAGTGGATTAGTTATTGAATAATGAACTAGGAGTAGCTAGTTTGGGTACTGTATGTGCTCAAAACTCTTCAAAACTCAAACTCCTGTGCTTACAATCATTGTGGTTTAATTAAGGCTGACGTGACTCACTTAGGGTGCTTAAGGACCACCGGAAAGTTCTCTTTTTTTCCCCTTTTTCAAAAATGTATTTTAAATTTATTTTATTTCAATTCGTCGAATTAAACCTGATTCTCATTTCGATGTCCTCTATTCTCTTGAAATATGCCTGGTCCATAAACCCTTAAGACTACCCAAAGTACCTTTAATTTTCACACTTTATTCCAAAGTACTAACACTCACAAAACGCCTGCGTACTTAGAATGACAGTTGCAGACGTTGTGGATGGCAAGAAATCTAGAGAAAGACCAAAGAATACCTGGATTTTACGTGAGGTTACGGGCGCTAAAGTCCTTAATACAGAAGGTATCGAGGAATCCAGCACTCTTTAGGCAACCTCCTAACGCGACATTAGGACAATTTGTGCCTCAGCCAAGGAAATTATTAATTCCAAATTGAAAGACATCGATTTTTAATATTTTGGGTAAGGTGATATGTGGAGCTCTAGAAATTGACAAAGGTTTTAATGACAAATCAGTATGAAGAACACTAACCTAACCAGATGCGCTTCCCGTTCCTACCCCCTCCTCCCAAAAATTTCCTTCCCCACCTTACAAAAAATATTTTAAGCTCATTTAGCTAAAATAAAATCAAATTTCTGGAACGAGTAAAGTTCGTAAATGCAAGGAAATGAAAGAATAAGGAATAAAAGCTAGAGAAGAAATGAAAAGAAATGTGAATATGTGTGGTGCCATTATAAAAGGAAGGAAAAGAAAGCAGAGAGGATTTTAAGAAAGCAAATATTGAAAAATAATTTTTTATGTATTTTCTTTCATTTTGGAGTGGTAGCAAGAGCAGCAATAGAAGTAGTGAATAGAAAATGAAAGGGATTTATTGGGGAGCAGGGTATTGTGGGGTGCAATTCAGGGTTATTTTGTGATTAAAAAAGAAATTGATGTTGGATTAATTTATAGGATTTAAGTGCTATTTTCATAGGATTCATAGAATATTTGAGTAACTTTTAAGTAAATGCACTATGGGGCAAAATGAAAAAAAAAGGGACTTTCACTTTGAAAAATGGACTTTTCCGATTTACACTTTTTGGGTGATTTTTTCTTGTAGAGGACATAAAAGTAGATAGAAATGCCAAATTTCAGGTCATTTGGTGCTGATTTCGCGATTCTAGAGCTGTTTGAAGTTGAAAACTAGTGAAAATTCTGGTTTTTTCATACCATGTTTGAACCGGGAAATATCTTAACTGGTTTAAGATATTGCAAAACGGTTTTCAGTTCCTATTAGTAGTATATAAGAGCTTTATTTTGACATATAACAAAGTTTAGGTTCTGAATGTTTTCGTGCCATTATGGTAGAACATATGTGAAAATTTCAGGAAAATTATCTTCAAACAAGCCGCAACTATCATAAATGAAGAGTTTCCAGGCAAGTAAAAACGCAGTTTTGTAGCCCCATATATCTAGTTTTCAAAACTGTATAAACTTTGAAAAAGTAAGCTAACGTAATTGAGTTATGTTGATTTTAGTAGGTCGTTGAGTATTTGGCCAAAAACTAATAATTCTTTTAAAAATACGAAAACATAGTTTTAAAAATAGTTTTTTGGTGTTTTCTTATGAAAAATAACAATTTAAATGATTTTGTGAAGAAAATTTTTCAAAAACTTCAAAATCTTTCGAGATATAGGGGGTATGTGCTCTCCATCGATTTGGCCATTTGTCACCCTACTTAAACCACTATAACTTTTTTTTGAAAAAATATTTTTTAATTCTGTTTTCGGATTATTGTAGCCTAATGTAATACCTATCCAACGATATATAATACTTGCTAGTTAACTTAGTCCTGGTTATTTATAGGGCTGTTGATTGTGACATACGCAGTTTTTGAAATATTCCCAAAAATTGCATTTTCAAAAATACCACTTTTAAGCAATCTCGAGTATTTTTTTAGAACTTTTTTATGTTTATTTATGACATTTATGAGATTATAAAGCCAAAAAATTAAATTTAGAAACTTTTTACTTCCCTAGTTAACAACTTTGTAAAGTACCCTTGGTAGTCACTATCAGGTGTGAAAATCTCAGTTTTGAAACTATTTTATATATATACTCGTGAAATTCTCTCTACACATCATATCAGTTTTGAACTTCATTGAACAAGTCACTTTCAAAAATGAACCAAAATTCAACACTTACGAAGAAAACACTCTGTGAAATTCTTCGCGACAAAACGTTAAATCTTGCAACACAGCACACGTACTGTTTGGCAGTAATAGAAGAAATTCATGGGAGAGAATTAGCGGAATCACAGAAACCAAGTTTAATTAATAAATTAAACAAGCTGAAGTCAAAGTCAAAAATGTTTTGTAATCAGTCAAATTGGAATAATGCATTAAGAGATCATGCAGATTTCTATGAAGAGGAATTTGAAGTTGACTCACGATACTTCAGCGAATCTAGTGGAGGGATTCTTTTTGAGGAAGAATCTATATATGAAGCAGAAAATGTTACTGACACAGATGAAGATATGGATGAGATTGAATACATCGTCCATGACATAGAGCCTTCATCCAGCAAGGGCATCAAGAGGAAATCATTTGAACAACTAACAAGCGATAAGCATCGACGTAGAAGAGTGGACGAATTAGATATCAGTTTAAAAGAAGCAAAAGGATCATTGTTATCAGTTCTTCACTTGGCACTTCGCCTTTCTAAAGAAGAAGGAAAAGTAGAAGGAGCTAAAATGTTAAAAGAATTTATTAAGGCGTGCCAAAAAGGAGAGGATCTTCCAGAAAAAACTACATCAAAACCTAAACAACTAGATATACATGTAGCTCTAGGTGTAAAAGCCTTTAACAATTTATCTCGAAATCAGTACAACAATATTCGACAAGTCCTGAAACTGGAATGCGAAAACGTTTTACCGACAGCTAAAAAATTGTTGAGGTTAGAGAAACAATGCTATCCTGATGACATAACGGTCACCGATACAAGAGCCGTTATTCCACTAAAAAATTTGACACAACTCACCACAAAAAGAGTTATTGAAGCACACAATTCAGAAATATACGACAAAATCAAAATATTACCTTCAGAATCAACTCCAAAAGTTATTCATGCAGAAATGATCGTCACATGGGGGATGGACGGAACAACAGGACAGTCACAGTATAACCAAGGAAAAACAAATTCAAGAAATCAAGAACGAGATAGAACACAACCGAATCAAACGACTAATAATGAAATTATAGAAGACAAATCACTATTGACAGTTAGTATGAGTGTTCAGCAACTACGACATGAAGACGAAAACGGAAATTATATCTGCTTATGGGACAACGAAAACAGTCAATCTGTATACTCAGTACGACCAATACAACTTGAACATGCCAAAGAAACCAGAGTAAATGTTAGAAGGATATATGAAGATATAAAAAATCAAATATCAAAACTTGAACCACAGAGATTCATATGTGAAGACATGCTTTTGGAAATTACGTACAAATTCTACCCCACAATGTTAGATGGAAAAGTTTACACAGACCTTACAGAAACATCAGGATATTGCAGATGTCAGCTTTGTAGATCTGGACCAAACGAGATGAGTGACATAAATAATCTTGATAATGGAAGATTCGAAAAAACACACAGAAAATTTGTTAAAGAACACTTGTATTTCAACACTCAGCCACTTCATACATCAATGAACGTACTCACGACTCTATATGATTTGTCATATAAACAATATGTTCAAAAACACTGGCTGGAGATAACTGAAGAGGAACAGATTGTTTTAGATGTTGAAAAGGCTAGAATAAAGCAAGCAATGTGGGATGCATTTAATGTTCGTGTACTCGAACCAAGACAAGGGGGAGCTGGATCATCAGATACAGGAAACGTTGCAAGAAAAGTTCTTGAAAATCCAGAGCTTCTAGCTAAAACTCTATATCTTAATGAAGAAATAATTAAACGTATATGCTATGTGCTAAACCAAATTCGAAGTTTAGAACCAGTTGATGATCTAGATGAATTTGATAGGTACTGTAAAGAAACATACAGAATGTTTTTGACAACATATAGTTGGTTCAAAATACCAGTAACACTTCACAGAGCACTTGCTCATGCAAAACACTACATGGAAGCCTTACCATTACCTCTAGGAAGAATGAGTGAAGAAGCCGGGGAGTCACAAAACAAATATCTCAGACAAGATAGAGAACTACGTGCCAGAAAAACTTCAAGAATACACAGTTTTACGGATGTTATACATAGAAGACTCTACAGTTCTGATCCAGTAATAATAAAAAAATATATGGATGTAATAAATAAAAGGTTAATGAGAAAAAATGTCCAAGAAGAAGGTGAAACACCTGAGCAACAAACAGAAAATGAGGAAAAAGATGAGGAAGAAATTGAATTGATTGAGCCAGAAGGAGAAGGTTATGACTTTTCCCAAGCAGAAAACTATGATTATTCCGAAGGACAAGACCATGAATATTCTGAAGAAGCAAACAACGAATGAATAAATAAATTTCATTAAATATGATAAAAAAATGTAAATTAAATTTCTTGACAAATAAACAAAATTTCATTAAACTAAAAATTAAACTTTATTAATTTTACCTATTATAGTTGCGTATCAGAGTATTTTTTTTATTACTCTAATGATAATAGCTTTTTTCAGACTTAACATTTCTTAAAAAAGTCCAAAAAATACTCGAGATTGCTTAAAAGTGGTATTTTTGAAAATGCAATTTTTGGGAATATTTCAAAAACTGCGTATGTCACAATCAACAGCCCTATAAATAACCAGGACTAAGTTAACTAGCAAGTATTATATATCGTTGGATAGGTATTACATTAGGCTACAATAATCCGAAAACAGAATTAAAAAATATTTTTTCAAAAAAAAGTTATAGTGGTTTAAGTAGGGTGACAAATGGCCAAATCGATGGAGAGCACATACCCCCTATATCTCGAAAGATTTTGAAGTTTTTGAAAAATTTTCTTCACAAAATCATTTAAATTGTTATTTTTCATAAGAAAACACCAAAAAACTATTTTTAAAACTATGTTTTCGTATTTTTAAAAGAATTATTAGTTTTTGGCCAAATACTCAACGACCTACTAAAATCAACATAACTCAATTACGTTAGCTTACTTTTTCAAAGTTTATACAGTTTTGAAAACTAGATATATGGGGCTACAAAACTGCGTTTTTACTTGCCTGGAAACTCTTCATTTATGATAGTTGTGGCTTGTTTGAAGATAATTTTCCTGAAATTTTCACATATGTTCTACCATAATGGCACGAAAACATTCAGAACCTAAACTTTGTTATATGTCAAAATAAAGCTCTTATATACTACTAATAGGAACTGAAAACCGTTTTGCAATATCTTAAACCAGTTAAGATATTTCCCGGTTCAAACATGGTATGAAAAAACCAGAATTTTCACTAGTTTTCAACTTCAAACAGCTCTAGAATCGCGAAATCAGCACCAAATGACCTGAAATTTGGCATTTCTATCTACTTTTATGTCCTCTACAAGAAAAAATCACCCAAAAAGTGTAAATCGGAAAAGTCCATTTTTCAAAGTGAAAGTCCCTTTTTTTTTCATTTTGCCCCATAGTGAAATGATTAAAATCCAGTCAGTCAAACGAACAATTCAACCATAACCCCAAAAAATCTCGTCACCTCCAATAACATAAATGCATAAAAAGAAGAGAAAAAAATCATTGAATCTGTGCTTATGTTCCACACCATCTCGAACATATATGAAATTGTAAGACGATGAAAGAAAATCCGACATATAAGAAAATTGTGGGGAAGCAATGGAGCATTTGTTGAATGGTATAATAGCATTATTCATGTCTTATGATGATTATAATGTGAAAAATAAGGTAGAACTGACTGCAATAGACAAAAAAAGGGAGTGAAAAAAATTTCCCAAAAGGCATTTTAGATTTAAATTTTGCATATTATGCAAAGCATAATGTTTAAGCACTAAATGTGTGTATTTTATATCTCATAATGATCAAATAATCGGTGGATGGGAATTTCAATTGTTTTTCAAGTAGAAAATTCTCAGTCTTGATTTAATAAATTTTTATGCATGTGAAATTTATTGACTTTGATTTTTCTTGGGAAAGAAAGGATTTTAAGATTTTTTATGTGTGCTCAATTAGAGAAAATCATGTGCTGAGTTTATGTTATTAAGCTTTAAATGTGAATATGAAATAGGAAGCTTTAAACAATTTAGACAGTTACTCAAAACTATAGAATTTATATTAGATTTCATAGTTCACAGCTACAGACACAGGCAGTTCAGATTGACATGAAGCTAGCTTTATTGAACATAGTGTTCCAAATAAACATCGGTTTAGTGATCATTTATAAACATTAAGGATTTTTAAGATGTTTTAATACAAACCCTAGAAAAATTGAAGAAATTTCTGTTAATGTAGGGGGGTTTGTCACCCAAGCCCCCCCCCCCCTGGTTACGCGTCCGCAATAATAATAACAATAATTATTCCTGACTTTAAAATCATTGTCTAATCAAAACTGTTATTGCCACAAATTTACAAAAATCAATATAACTTCCAGCAATTTTTCCATCCTTAGTTCCCAAAACTATGTATGTACTTTATCACATCACTTCAGGTGCACTTTTCAGAGATCTTAAATCAATTTTTTGGTCATAAAAGTTCATTGCATGAGCTTTCAATGCAATTTATCTACTGAAGCTTCACATTCAACTCTTAATATTTTCGAAGATTTATTAACATAAAATTTTATTTGTGTGGATCTCTACTTAATATTTTCGACCAAAGTCATTTTTAATAATTTTGCTTGTTTTTAAGGAGGCTGATATAGTGAAAAGGATTAAAGTAAACAGGCTCCGATGGGCTGGACATATTATAAGGAGACCTGTGGAAGCTCCATTAAATAAGGTCTTTAAATCTGACTTCGTAGATGGCAAGAGATCACGTGGGCGGCCAAAGAACTCGTGGAAGGAAGCTGTTGATAGAGACAGTATAGCGCTTGGTATTGGAAATTGGCAGACGGTAGCCAGCGATAGAACTAGTTATAGGCGTCAACTAAGGGAGGTCATGGATCACAATTGATCTGTACGACCAGCGAAGTAAGTAAGTAAGCTTGTTTTTAAAATGTTCAAAAAAAAATTAAAAAAATCTACTTACGATAGAGTTTGATTGTTCCATCAGTGTCACCGAGTGAATTTTTACTGACGCACTTATAAGCGCCAAAATCATTTTGACCAACTGAATTAATTGTCAATTTCATGATAACTTTGTAAGCGTTCTCCGTTTCCACCGGCTCAAATCGCTTTCCTGTAAAACAAAAAATAAGAGAATAACAGAGTGAGTTAAATAAAAGCGTGTAAAAAGGGCTTAAAAGTTTTTCAAAAAAATAGAATTTAAATTGCATTAATAAATTTTCCTATGAACACCCATTGAGCAAATATAATGGACCATTGAGAATACTTTTTTTGAGGCAAATTCCTTTTCATGAAAGTCGATAAAATGTTTATTGCTTGGCTGTTATTATTACTGTTATTGGATGTTATAATTCATAAATATTATAGATCATAAAATTATTAAAAAAGTCTTTAAATTTTTCTGTGTAGCTTGTGGTTAGATGCTTTAAATTGGGGTGTTTGCGGACGTATTTTATGGGTTAGTGATTGAAATTTGATTTTATGTAATTGACGGATAATGAAAATTTTTAAGTGAGTGCCGGAGAGGTAGGGAAGGGGGGGTCAGAATTTGGTCCATAATGAAAGAAACTAAGACGTATACACTCGGGATTAATCCCAAAAATCAAACTAGTGTATCGGGTAGAAACCCAATGCGGATTATATTCACACCGTACTATCATAAGTCTTATGAATAGACCAAGATTTGCCCATCATAAGTATGAAGGTATGAAGCTTGATAAGTCAACTAAGCTTCGCTCAGCATAAGTTTGAAGTTATAAAGCTATCGCGTAAGCTGAGCTCCGCTCAGCATAAGTTTGAAGATATGAAGCTAGAGAGGCAGCTAAGCTTCGCTCAGCATAAGTTTGAAGTTATAAAGCTATCGCGTAAGCTGAGCTACGCTCAGCATAAGTTTGAAGATATAAAGCTAGAGTGTCAGCTGAGCTACGCTCAGCATAAGTTTGAAGATATGAAATTAGAGAGGCAGAGGAGCTTCGCTCAGCATAAGTTGAAGTTATAAAGCTATCGCGTAAGCTGAGCTACGCTCAGCATAAGTTTGAAGATACAAAGCTATCGAGTCAGCTGAGCTACGCTCAGCATAAGTTTGAAGGTATAAAGCTTGACGAATATGCCAAATATTCTTTAAAAGTTTTTTAAAAAAAATTTTCATCCAAAGTTGAATTTTATAAAAATCACAGTCAACTTTTGTTTTAAAAAATTCGTAAGAAAGGAAAGTTTTTTGCCATTTCTGAAGCAACGGCTGTTCCTACCTTGCCCAAAAACTATACAGCTCTTCTATAGAGTAGCACGGATCAAATGTAAAAAACTAGAAGTCTCTACGATGTCTCGTTATTGAGATTTCTTGCTGATTAACTTGCTTGCTTGCTTGCTTGCTTGCTTGCTTGCTTGCTTGCTTGCTTGCTTGTTTGCTTACAGAAAGCGTATTTTGCGATTTTCTCAGCAATGCCACAACCAATTTGAAATCTGTTTTTTGAAAATGATGTAAAATTTCAGGCACAAACTTTTCTTCTTGCCCTTTTATAACCAATTTTGCTTTGTTTTCTCACAAAATGCGAAAAACTGATTTTTCAATCTGAACAAAACCAATAGATTCACACGTGAAAACGGTGTGAATATAAAAAAAAAAATCTGGCACTTCCTGTCATCAAACTTGGAATCCAATTTCGATCAGTCCAAGTTTGATGCAAAAAGTGAAGTGCTAGGATTTTTTGGAAAAATTCCGAGAGTAAAAGTCTCGTAAAAAGCATAAATCAGCAAGCATTAGGGAGGAGGCCCGCTTTAGGAAGTGAGCTAAAGGTTGAAAAAATTTGGCGAAAATAATTTAGAATCTAAGCACCAACCACACCACTGACCAAAAATTTTATAAAACCCGTCCAAAACACACCCCAAATCCTTAATAATCACAAATAAAAACCAAAAAGGTTAAATCAATTTTTTCATATTCTTCAATTTTCTTTTTCTTTCCACTTCATTACATCCAGCATTCAAATATTCGAACAAAATTGAAATGAGCAAAAAGATGAAAATTTTCTTTCCAAGTGAAATATCTTTAAATGACTTTTCAAAATATTTGCTTGATTTATTCTGATTCGGTCGTTACCAGTTGTTCAATGAGATTTTTTTTTTGTTGTAAGAATGAATTTTCTGCTGTGGCATGGTTAAGAATTTTTTATTTTATTTTTTCCATTTGTTGGTTCGTTATTCAATTTATGTGTAAATTGAAAGAATTTTGATAGAATGGGGCAGGGATGGGGTATGTGTTGCTGGGGTTCAGTTAAAGTATGCCCATTTTTGAAATTGAGTGGTTTATTGTAAAAAAGAAGCCTTCAAAGAATTTTTGAAGACATAATCTTTTGCTATAAATTTTAATTTTTTTAAATTAAGAATGTCAATAGAAGAGGAGGGGGGAGGGGGGTTAAAAACACAGCCCTTTAAAAATTAAAAAAAGGAACTCAGTCCTAAAACAAAATTAAATAAACCACAAAACAATCCCAAAATCCATCATCATCTCAAAACAAACATTTTTTGCCATCTCATTCAACTTGTTGAACTTTTTCTTCCTCATTTCAACTCAAATGAAATTCTAATAATAAAAGAAATTCTCATCTCAAAAAAAGGTAGAAAAAGTAAGCATTCATGGATAAAATAAAAGTAATTTTCATGCCAGCACGCAATAAGCCGTTCAATAAAAGGCACGCACACCTGTAAACAAAAATTTTCTTACATTTATCCGATGAGAAAAAAATCCTCACACTTACCTTTCGTGATGATCGTCTCATTTTTCATCCAATAATTGATCGATTTGGGATAGGCTTCGGATTGGCACTCGAGCATTATTTTTTGCCCAATCGCACTGCCAACCAATTGATTTTGTATCATCAACATGGGCGGAACTGTGAGATAAAAGCATAAAAAAATTTAATAAAAGGAAAAATTTACAATCGAGAAATTGAGAGAAAAAAATCAGCAAAAAAAAATATTTCCTTATTTTTATTTTTGTGTAACGAATGCCAAAAATAATGCACAGACAATGCACAAAAGCTTCATGTAGTGCATGGCTCTTATTGCTTTGTTCCATCTGAAATGAATAAAATTCCACAAACATTCAAAATTGAATTTAATTTCTTAACATTTCAATTTCAATTCTTTTTCTTATTTTTTTCCGTCCACAAAAGCATCTCAATTCCTTCATGCACTTGCCATAGAAACGAAAATATTTATTTATTTATTTTTTTTTTTGTGTGTTGCTTTCTTTATTTTCTGTGGGAGTTTTTCATTCTATTTTTTGCTATTTGTAGAGTCTTGTATGACGTAGAAAAAAAGTTGAAGATGAAGCAAATAAATTTGAAGGAATTTAGAAAAAGAAGGAAGACTGACTTTTGACTAGGAATTGAGGTTCTGATTTTTAAATAGCTTGCATGGTAACTAGTGGTTAAGTTAATTCGGATAGGGTTTTCTTAGTAAGTTGATGAAATTATTATATGAATCTAGCATTTAACAGACAGTTAATACTTTAAAGATAAAAGACAAATCGTGGGAAGAGCTGATGAACTTAATGTCCCTCTGCTTATAATTGATTTCTTAAGAATATTGAATCATGATAAAATAATTGATTTTCCTGTCTACAACGTTAGCTTAACACCACTAATTGATGCTTACATTGCTGTTCACTTAGTTTCAAAACCTAGTCTTTTAAATGCCATTTCTCACTAAAAGATTTATATGCTTTCTTCTTTTTCGTCTCTGATTTTTAAGTAGAAGCACCGTGACAAAATTAATTTTCCTAATTACTGAAATGAATAGCAAAGACTTAATTAGAGGTAAAATATCTTTGCCATAGTTCAAACTTTGTAGAGCTTTATTGTGACTTGATGCTTGTGTCTAGAATTGAATTGCTAAATTGGAAAACTATTACAGGAGATTTGTTGATACTGGAAGTGATTGTGGGTGTGTTGTTGTGGGCTGATGCTGCTTGTCATTATTTTTTTCAACTTTAAAGCAATTCTATGATTTTACCGATTTTACATTGATTTTTTCAACAAATCAGCATGACTTTCGAATAGACTAAGGAGCCCAGCTATTAATGTACCTCAAGTTCTTAAAACCCTTAGGCACCTCTCGATTCGTCCTATCCTAGGGTGACCATCTGCGTAGTTTTACAACGGACAGTCCTGTATTTCAAAACCCTGTCCTGTATAAATTTGAAAATTTTGTTCCAGGTCCTGTATTTTTTTCACGAAAATTTCCGTTAATTTTCGAATTTTACTCTATGTCCTTTATTTTTCGAAAAAATTTACCAAAAGTCCTGTATTTTCATGAAAATTAGATGGTAGCCCTATCCTATCCCCAGGTTTTCGTTTCTTTGAATATACTTAAAATTTTACATTAATTAAGAGCAAAGTTTGGAAGTGTCTAGAGCAATTTTTAATATAAAATTGAATCTACAGTGGCGAGATTTTAACTTCCTTTACCTCTTTTGATAGCCTATCTAGATTCTTATATTTCAAGACTCCCTAGACGTCTCATTAAATCACAAAACCTCACAAGCCTCTCAAATTTCAATTCCAATTTATTCACTCGGTTGACATTGAAAACAAAAAAATTAAAAACAAATATTTTCTCGCCGCAATGTGCCGCTTTTTATGATACAACGATAAAGAATTGCGCATTCAATGCAATTATACAGCATCAAATGTTTGTTCAATTATCGAAATGTTTTACATGAATTAATTCCCATGACGCCGTTCCTTTTTTATGCTCGGGTACAGTTATTTAAAAAATTGTGCAATGAAATAAAAACATATGTAGTGGATGGTGTGCATGAGTTTCGAATGAAAAAGGGGATTTTTTTGCTGTGAATTGAACAAAAACATCCGCTTTGTTGCTCGAGTACGTGGAACTTTTGTGTGCAGTTTTCATTTTACTTTTGTTTGGGGGGAATTTAAGTGCTTTTTGAGGTTTCGTGGTTAATGGATGGTCGTTTTGTCTAGGTAAGGATATGCTGACCATCTTCTCAAAATTAAGGACTGTTCTCTATCTAAGTTCTAGGTTGAGAAGGTTGAATCTTTCTGGGGCTTGTTTATCTGGGTATCATGTGACACCAACTCTAGTCATAGTTAAGTTTTGAGTTTATTAAAAATAATTTGGGACATCGATTTTTCATTCTTGGGTTGGATGCCTTTCATACACGATCTTTTGAGCTGTTCTTCTCAAAATTTCAATAGCTATCCCCTTACCTATCAACCCTGAATAAAAATTTCCATACTTTTTCCACAACAATTGCATTCCCAGAACTCCATAGTGAGTCAATTACGATCCGTATCAAATGGAATGTTTGGATATAGTTTATTTTTATTTTTATTTAAACGGAAAATTGAGAATTTGTTAAAAAAAAATTGATATTGTGGACGTAAAAATTGCTGTAAATAAAATGTTCGAACATTTTATTGGATGTGTTTTTATGCGTGCATTTATGAATATTTTTATTGTTTTTATTAGTAAATTGAGATGAACTGTGAATGTGATGGGATGTTTGGATGTGTTCTACTACTTTGAAAAATGTCTCTTACAACTATGGTTTAGGTACCCGATCGGCACAAATTAAAATTCATTGAAATGTTTGCCATAAGGAGCTAAGTTGATAGTTTAATTAGAACCAAGCGGCATCCAGTTGGAAATGGCTTATAAGCAGTCCTAATTATACTTTCAACCCAGCTGCCGGATGCAAACATTTAATTGTGTGATGATCGGGGTAATTTGTTTCTAGGTTACGTAACATCCAAACAATCCCCAAAAGATGTATTCTGTGATGCAATAAACGGCAATTTCGAATACTGATTAGATCAATTCAACTCTAGTGACCAGTAAAAAAATTGAAAATTGATCTTAACTGAATTTAATTGACATTGAATATTTTCATAAATTATTCAAAAACTACACTTAAAACTTCTCATTTAATTTAAAAACCAAAGCAATAATAATGCAATTTATTTTCTTTTAATATTTTATTTAACTTTACATACTTTTTGTAAACTGTAAGCTACACCAAACGCCAAAAATTGTTTTACTCGAAAATAATACCAACAATAATATTTTATTCTGCAACCAAACAATTCAATTGCTGAATTTAACTATGTATGTGGGGGATTATTTATTTATTTATTATTATACTTGTGGGATGGAATGTAAACAACTATCAAGTGCTTGTTATTTCGGTTATTTGATGTAAAATTAAAATGTTTCATGAGGAAAATTTTTACGTAGGTTTTAATTATTAAGGAATTATTGTAGACTCAAAAATTAAATTTTTACAAATTTATTCAATTTAAGCAGTTAAGTGCCTTGCTGGTCGAATAGGTAAGGCGCTTGGCTCAAATTTGGGATGGTAACTCGAAGGCCGTCGGTTCGAATCCAGCCATTTCCAAATTTGTTCTTTTTCGGAAGTTTAGATACTTCGACTGCTAGGAGATCAGGTCATAATTGGGCATTTGGGCAACGTTGGATTAAGGAACGGGTCAGGAACTTGAAGTTTAGCGGGAGAAATAGGAACGTGAGCTACAAGATTACCTACGAATGGAATATTGTTAGAACGGACCTGAAAAGTATCACGTCACGCCTAAAGAAGATCGAAACGAGAGCCTTAGTTTATTTGAAACCTAGATTTGAAGATTAGAAGTTTGATCCTACATAATATTAATTCATATATATACAAATACAAAAGTGTAAAATGTGAATTATTACCGGACAGTATGTCGTCAATAAATGCAATAAAGTGCAATTAAAATGAAAAAATAAACCAAGTTTTAAAAATATAAACTTTAAAAAATTTTGATATATTTTAAAATTCATGATCAATATTTTTTAAATATTTAATTTTTTGAAATTTAATTTTTTCGAAAATCCGTTTAAATTGTGAAACTTTATTTTGAATGTCAACATCCCAATTCAACAACTTATTCCTCTTTACTCCCATAGCATCAACATCATTATCAATAATTTCTAATCTAAATAAGAACTATTCTTTTTTCTCAACCGTCCTTACTTCTACAAACATTCATTCCCTACTCCACTTTCAATTCATTCTCAAACCTCAGACTATATTAAATTTCTTGCATGATTGCAAACTGAAACACTTTCAACCAACTTTTTATTCTCATTTGAAATCTATTTTGTGAGTTGCATAAAATGTAGCTGGGGATAAAAGAGGCAAGTGAACAGTGAAAGTGAAGCTTTTAAGCATCGTTCAAGTACGTCTGTTGTGAGTTTAAAATAAGTTATATGTTTATCTTTATTCGATTATCGTTTTTTATTGCATGAAATTTTTTTCACTCATTCCCGAATTGCTGTTCAAGTGTTTTGTGTTATTTTTCTTGTGCTGATTGTTGAGAAATTGAATTTTAGGGTTTTCATTTTGTCTGGGGACTCGAATAATTTATTTATGAATCTTACGTGTTTTATTCATTCACGCTGAAATTGATATATTCTGTTCAAATTCTGATTGATCTATTTTTGATCTATTTTGACGCAACTTGATATGTTTTTACTCAACTTGATCGGTTTTTATTTAACTTGACTTTTTTTTTCTCCACTTGACTTATTTTGACTCACACTTGATATATTGATTACTCTGCTTGATTTACTTTGACTCAACTTGACTTTTTATGTTTCAACTTGACTTATTCATGCCTTAACTTGACTTATTTATGTTTTCTTTATGTTTATGTGTTTCAACAAAGTTTCAACTTGATTTATTTTTGATTCTCCTTGACTTATTTTTGATTCAACTTGACTTATTTTGATTCAACTTGAACAACTTTGACTCCCAAAAAACACTTAAAAATGCTTGACTATTCAAAAAATCAATGCCTTACTTCTTTAAATTCATTTTAAAAGCAAATTTTCCCTACCATCCTTTGTATTTATTTTACTTTACGTATGTGTATGTCTATATCCTCCTAGAGAAGTGAGAAAAATTGTAGTGAGTATGCGGTATTGTGCATAAAATTACCATTTTTTAAATACGAAAAAAATTTTTTTCTCCATAGCAAGGCAAAAGTGTGAAAGCGTTTGAAGTTATACATAAAAAATAGATTGTACGAGAACATGAACTTTATATTCCACTCTATCAACAATCTTCAAAGTGCTGTAGATTATATGGAAAGAAGAACATTGATCACAACACCTTCATGTCGTATTTTATATTTTTATTTTTTTATTCGTAGCAACTTTTATGTTTATATTTTGTGAATTGAGAATGTTTATGCAAAAACGGAGTGAATAATGTTGTTTGGGTTTATGTGGGCAGTAAGGGGTAGTGTGTATTGTGAGTTAAAGTGAATTTGTTGGGGGTTGCTGGAATTAAATTTTGTTGGAGAAGTGATAAAGTGACTTTAATTTCTTAAAAATGAGGGGTTATATAGTAAATGAATTCTTCTAAAACTGAAATAATTTTTGGGGTTTCATTTTTTGGCCAAATTATAGTTTTAAAATTAAATGGATGTTAATGTAAGGCAGGGAAGATATCCACTTTAAAAAAATATAACAGATCTTGAAAATGAAACATAAAGATATATTGATTTGACTTGGGATCGAACCCACGACCTTTGACTCATTAGTTTGACGCTATAACACTTAGACCACTAATCCCTTAAAAACATTTATAATGAATTTAACAAAAATCCATAAACTTCTCATCGCAAAACCAAATTTTCTCAGCACTTACAAACAACTTTTTCAATCGATATCAAAAATATAAATATAAGCACTTCCTCCACAAATAAAACTCAAAAACACTAAAAGCTCTCTTTATGAGGTGCAAAAAAAGATTGCTCTTGAATAGCTTTTTTTAAAAACTTTTTCTTTGACTCCTTTTTATATTTAAAAATGAACAAAAACTAAAAGTTGAAAGAACAAAATTTTTTTGCTGATATTTCAATTCCATTTATTTTTATCTGTACCAAAAGGAAAGAATTGAATTTAGGTCAGCGTGTCTGTAGTCAGTGTGTCCTTAAGTTAATGTCAAACAGAAGTTTTGTACTATGTGGAGCAGATTAGGGGTTTTATTGATTTTTTGGCACTGATTTCATCGGTGCTTTTTAGAATGAAGCTTCCTAGAGCTTGAGTTGTGGCTAGTTGCCATATATGCTTGACTTTGACTAAACCTGGTCGGGTAATAGGCTTGCTTAGGTCTACATTAGTGAGACTTAAAGATTTGACTAAATCTAGACTGAGTAGCTTCAAAGGTTTGACCAGGTCTTGACTTATTAAGCTCATAAGTTGACTAGATTAAAGCTAATTAGACTCATAAGCTTGGCTGAGTCAAGGCTTACTTTCGTACAATAATTGTTCATTTGTTTATGTCAAGTTAGAATTAAACCTTGATCTAGTCGATTGCCTGGCAGATTCAATCATTAATGGAACCTCTAGTACATCTTTACAATCATACAATCTGCTCTTTTTTTCTTACGAGTATAATTTTCCTCTTAAAAGTATTGTAAAAGCAAAGAAAAAATCAGAACATGAAAAAAAGTTCAAGTATATACTTACAATGAACAATCAACATCACCCTTTTGGAAACTGTTGGCGGGATTCCATTCTATAGACGAACGGCATGTAAAGAAATAAAAAAAATGCGATATTAAGTCATTTAGCAATGTTAAAGTACAGAGAACAAAGAAGAACAGCAGTTAAAGTATGTTCTGTATGTCCTATCAGCAATTAAAAATCTCATGTTAGTATTTACCGAGGCTATACACAAGTAGGCGCCCATATGTAAGCGATTAACGCGAGATATGTTTAATATTGATCCATTAAAGGTAACCACTGGTTGTTGTTGTTGTTGTTGTCCATTTACCGGATGCATGAACGTGTTAAAAATACAGGAAGAGAGGAAGGTAAAAAGAGGATTGGAATTAAAAGCAAATTTAGACACGTTTGTTTGTGAAATCAAGATGTTCCAATTAATGGCATCATGATTGATTGAATTTTTCAGCTCTTTTTGTTGGCTCTTATTCAAGCTTTTAACAAGTGATGGTGTTTTATCAAGTTCATAGTCTCATTCTGAAAGCTCTCTTTTTGTGTACGGTTTATCTGTGTGTATGTCTATGGCTATGTGGTGCAATAAGCAGAGAAAAAAAATTTAAAATAATTTCCGAAATGAAGAAGCAGAAAATTGGATATGCAGTAGAGGAAGGTTTTGATTTAGTTTGGTAAATAAATTGAACGCTGTTTTAGAATGTAACTAGAAAGATTTAAAATAAATAGGGCAATTGTTTAGAAAAATAATCATCTCCACCAAATTGAGCCTATAGTAATACATGCTCCGAAGATTCTATAATCTTAGAGAAAGGTTTTAGATAGGGTTAGGTTAAAGACTAAGGTTTAGTTCAAGACTAGGGTTAGGTTCTAGACTAGAATTGGTTCTAGACTAGCGCTTGGTTCTACATTAAAGTTTGGTTCTAGACTAGGGTTTGATTTTAGACTAGGGTTTGGTTCTAGACTAGGGTTTGGTTCTAGACTAGGGTTTGGTTCTAGACTAGGGTTTGGTTCTAGACTAAGGTTAGGTTCTAGACTAGAATTGGTTCTAGACTAGCGCTTGGTTCTACATTAAAGTTTGGTTCTAGACTAGGGTTTGGTTTTAGACTAGGGTTTGGTTCTAGACTAGGGTTTGGTTCTAGACTAGGGTTTGGTTCTAGACTAGGGTTTGGTTCTAGACTAAGGTTTAGTTCAAGACTAGGGTTAAGTTCTAGACTAGGGTTTGGTTCTAGACTAGGGTTTGGTTTTAGACTAGCGTTTGGTTTTAGACTAGGGTTTGGTTCTAGATTAGGGTTTGGTTCTAGACTAGGGTTTGGTTCTAGACTAGGGTTCGGTTCTAGACTAGGGTTAGGTTCTAGACTCAGGTTTGGTTCTAGACGAAGGATTGATACTAGACTAGGGTTTGGTTCTAGACTAATGTTTGGTTCTAGACTAGGGTTTGGCTCTAGACTAGGGTTTGGTTCTAGACAAAGGTTTGGTACTAGACGAAGGTTTGGTACTAGACTAGGGTTTGATTCGAGACTAGGGTTTGGCTCTAGACTAGGGTTTGGTTCTAGACTAGAATTGGTTCTAGACTAGCGCTTGGTTCTACATTAAAGTTTGGTTCTAGACTAGGGTTTGATTTTAGACTAGGGTTTGTTTCTAGACTAGGGTTTGGTTCTAGACTAGGGTTTGGTTCTAGACTAGGGTTTGGTTCTAGACTAAGGTTTAGTTCAAGACTAGGGTTAAGTTCTAGACTAGGGTTTGGTTCTAGACTAGGGTTTGGTTCTAGACTAGGGTTTGGTTTTAGACTAGGGTTTGGTTCTAGACTAGAGTTTGGTTCTAGACTAAGGTTCGGTTCTAGACTAAGATTAGGTACTAGACTAAGGTTTGGTTCTAGACTAAGGTTTGGTTTTAGACTGGGGTTTGGTTCTAGACTAGGGTTTGGCTCTAGACTAGGGTTTGGTTCTAGACGAAGGTTTGATACTAGACTAGGGTTTTGTTCTAGACTAAGATTAGATTCTAGAGTGTTAGACCTAACAATTCGTTTTTTAAATAATGACAAACTGAGGTACAAGAGGTTACAGGGACTCCCCCTGAGGGGAGTCGGAATTTAAAAGTTTACAAACAAAACTATTTAGACCATCCTGATTTTTTTCTGGTTAAAACCCTCCCCGGTATTAATTGTCTCTGCTAGCTCTCAGTTTTTGAAAAATAATTGTCAAATTAATCTTCAAAGAACCAGAGTTTTTATAGCTTTAAAATATGTCTTTCAATAGTAAATTAACCTTTGCTGACCATATACAAGCCTTACTCTAATATAAAACTTTCCACCCTACAAAGTATCACATGCAAAGTCAATAAAAAACTATAAGTACTCAAATAATCTCCACAACTTTATGTCCCCATCATGTCGAATTGCGTTCCAAAAATTAATTTCTATCTTCCTACTCAATTTACTTTCAACAAGTTCGAAATCGATACTTTTCTCTTTCTTCCACAAAAACTAATGGGTAATTCCATGAGTAATGGGAACTGTGAAAAAGCACTATGCAATATTTCTCTACTTGTAAAAATTCAAATTTCCCAAAACCGTTATAATTTCTAAACGTTTTGTTGTTTATTCGAGTGAATTAGCCGCAATTTCATCAAAGAGAGATGGTTCAAATATACATGATCTTTAATGTTTTGAAACTTTAGTTACTTGCTCAATTAAATCAAATAAATGTAATAAACTTACAAGTAAAATCAAGAAAATCTAATGGTTTTTGTGAATTTGAAATTTTTTCAGTGTTCTGTTTTGCAATAATCGGTCAAAAATTGACCGATTAATGCTAATTTTTTTGGTTTTTCTTCTTAATTAAAGCATTAAGGAATGCAAATTATACATAAAACAAAAGCCTGGCTAATATCTAACATGTTAAAAGTAACTTTGGAACATAGAAGTGTGTATTTAAGTAAATATTAGGAAATGTTTAGAAAACGATTTTTCGAAAACTTGACCGATTAATTTTACTTTTATTAAAAAAACAAGAATTAGACATATTTCTGATTTGAAATTCTCACATATGGAGATAAATATTGTGTTAATAAACATAATAAAGTTACAATTTGGAGTACAAAGTTCTTAGTTAAGGAAATATTTTTGAAAAATTGGAGCACCAAAATTTTTTTCACTCATGGAATTACCCTAATAATAATCTTGTCAGCCAGACATTTCAGCAATAAACTTTCGATTTTCGAGCACAGAAAGAGACTGAGTGCAACAAACGACATAGAAAATCGAACAAAATGAAATCATTAATTAAGAATTTGAATGTGTTTGTGTGTGTGTGTGAAAATTTTGTGGGAAAGTCTCATCGTCAGTTTGATCAAAATTTCAATTTTCAATTTTACCTTCACGTTGTCCACTTATGGCAATTGATTCACCGCCCTCTCGTCTCCAAGTGATATTTGGTTGTGGTGAGCCTCGGGCTGCACATTTGAGTGTCACGTTGCTCCCTTCTCGCACCACCATATCAGTACTTGTTGGATAGTCTAAGATGTCTGGGGGCACTGTGAATGTGTCGATGACAAATTATATACACATTGTGGACGAAGAAGCAGCAACAGTAGATCCAGCAGCAAAGAATTGTGATGATGAAAAAAAAAAATGTTTCAATGAAATGAAATTGAATATTTACTTTCATTATGTGACGTGAGAAATGAGATTCATTAACGTCATTTAGGGCATTTTAATTTATTACTGTGGCGAAGAATCTAAGTGCTTTAATGTGATGATGACGACGAGTTTTGGATAGCTTTAAACTTCTTTAAAGAGATTTTTATTTATTGGTGATTTTGAAGCACTTTTAAAAAATAAGATTTATTAACAAGTGATATTCTTATCGCAATGCTAAGATAATATTTCTTTGAGTTTTGGTATGGGGCCGTTCATTTATTACGTAACGGTTCAAGAGGGAGGGGGGAGGGGGGGAGTTAAAATATTTTTACGGTTCAAACAAAAAAAAAATTTTTCCATACAAATTTTCTTACAAGGTTGGGGGGGAAGGGGGTTAAAAGGTTTGTGTTCCGTAATAAGTGAACGTCCCCTTAATGGATTCTTGTAGCAACTGAAGGATTCAATCCATGGAAATTGATTGGATTGCAAACAAAATTCAATGTTATTCACACAAATTTTGGACAAGAAGTAAGGGGAAGGAGGTCTTAAAATTTCGTTTGTGACGGACGTCATTTATGAAAAGCCCCCTTTTGAATAATTTTCACCATCTCTTAAATTTTCACTTTAAGAAAATCACCACATAAGTTTCAATATCTAAAACAACATTGTCATCATCATTGTCTTCTTAGACTCTTGTACTTGTTTTTCTTAATCTAAGAAATATTTTTTTTTGCCTCATTTTAATCAATTTACTCACCCACAACATTGAGGTAGCCCACTTGATTCTTCATGGGATCAGTATTGATCTGTTTGGATACAAATTTTAGGATATTAGAATAGCTTTTATTTTTGGTCATTTGAAATGAAGTTCTTGATGTTTATTTTAGGGAAGTAGACCAAGGTATAACTTTGTGGTACCCACTCATAATGCGAGATAGAGTTCTACTAAGGTCAACACTAATCACAATCTTAGCCTATATTTTATCTACACAAAAAGACTGAATGACCTACTCGAGTCTACCGAATCCCAAATCAAAAACTTCATCAAATTATAGTCTTTCCCCTTTAAACTCACCTGACACATGTACCTGTTCAGACATCACAACGAAATAACAAGAAAGAAGAAACATTCAATCAGATAAAATTTTATCTCTTCCACAAAATCATTTAAAAAAAGTCAACAAAAAACAGCATTCAGTTCTCAATATTCCTTACCATCCCTTATCAGATTCCTTGACATCTCGTATTCGCAGCACCCATGCTCGATTCTCAACATGTGACACTGTCATCCGATGATTCTTTGTGATAATGTGAGTTTGAATCGATAATATTGTTTGTGTATCTACTTTCAGCCACGCAATCTGTTGATGAAATGTTCATTGGAATTCCAATGAACGAGATAAATGAATTTTTTTGTCCCTTCAATTCAGTTACTCAACCACACAATTGGTAAGGATAATTAATTTGATTTTCTGATTAAAGTGAAATTAATACTTCATCAAGATAATTTACTGGTTTTGTAGTTGTCTGATGTCGGTTGTGTAATGAATGCGTCAGAATAGGAATAATGACATGGAGATATGGATCGGGTTTTACTGATTGAGTTATGAAAATTGATTGATTCTTTGTTGTTGTAATTGATATTGTTAAAAATATAATTTTGAGATTTAAAAGACTGAGTGCTAGATTTTATGTTGATCTTAGGCTAAAGAACTGTGTTTTATAATTCATACGGTTAAGAACCTAAGGCTCTTTATTAAACACTAAAGGGCAAACTTGCGACGAACTATAAATCAACCTAGAGACTAAGATATATAGCAACTCAAGCATAATAGAGAAAATTCGAGTTTCTTGATCACAATGATTTGAGGCAGCATGGTTAAGTAGTGCCTGATAGGATGCAGACTTTCATCTTGTTAGAATTAAAAACAATCAAGACTATAAGGACTAAATGATGTTTTAAATCTTCCAAACATTTTTGTCTTGCTGTACTCTTAAGCCCTTCGTATTACTAAACTCAACTAGCCTCTCTCTGGATGTTTGGACGTCAGGGTTCGGATGTAATCTTACTACCTTAATAAAGCTATTTATGAAAATCATTCTGAATATTTTAAAATGATATACATAACTTTCCAAAATTATTCCTCAACTTAATAAAATATCAATTCAACCTATTCACCAACTATGTAAATCTCTTCCACAAAATTCTCTCACAGAAACCACTTTTTGAGAAATAAGATTAATTCATTATGTTACCACGTCGATAATACCGCAATGCTATTATAATAATGTAATGAACATGTGTATGAATTTAACAATTAAATATGATGAATATTAAACGAGGATTTATGAGCACTAAAGTGAGTTTTATTAAATGTGGAACAAAAAGTCATTTAAATATTTTCATTGGATTGAATTCAGCATGACCTTTCATTGTAAGCTCACAATTGTTGTAGAGAATTTCGAGTTTGTGTTGAGTTTGGCTTTTAATTTGAATTGATATGTAAGTATATTGGATTATAAGATATTTTTATCAGTTTTATTGACTTGTTAAGTTGGAACAGCACTCAATTGTTAAAGAGATGTAGATAAAAGTATGTTGGATATTCAGTTGATCTTAATACAATGCTAGATTAGTGATGGAAACTAGACAATAATTAAGAAGTAAGGCTTTGAGACATGTAAGATAGGGAGAGGACAGGGAGGCAGGAGGGGGGGGGGGGTCCTGCAAGGAAAATTTTAGTTTTGTTTTTCAGTTTCTAAAGCTCAGGGATATGCTAGCATCCACAAAACCAATATAATTATCATCAAATTAATTCATATATTCCAAAAATAATCAAGACATCATCATTAAAATAGAGAACTTACTTTATATGTCTGTAAATTATCAACTACACAACTAAAAACAGCTTCTCTGCCCACAGCTATCGTCTGATTCTGTATCGGCTCTCCGAACTTCGGAATGTCTAGATAATTTTATTTTATGTTTTTATATATTCATCGAATTTTCCATTTAAACAGTATTTCGTGTTGTATTGCATGTCAATGCGTTGTCCACGGCAGGTTGTTGTTTTTCGAATGATTTCCAAAAAAGCACAAAAAGGAAAGAAGAAGAGAAAAAAATTAAATGAATAAAAATATTTTTGTCATGTTGAATTTAGCTGAAAAAAAAAAGAATAAATAAAATAAATGAAAATTGTCTCTCTTCATTCACGAGTTCATTCATGAAAATAAAAAAAAAAGTTGGGTGCAGATAGATGTCCAGTGGCATTTTAGCGACTAGTGGAAATGTAAAAGTAATTTATAGAGTGAGAATAGGAAATTTTTTCAAAGGAATTTTGCATTAGAAATGGTCAATTTTGTTTTTATTGCTGGGAAATCGATTTTTTTCGCTATTTAGATGGAATTTCTTTTTGGTAAGGGGCAAATGATGAAAAATCGAGGACAGACGTGTTGAAATTTTTGAAGAATTTGTTTGCTGAAATTTCAAAATATGATCAGCAACTGGGTTTTGGCTACATAGAAATGTCCTTTTGACAGCGCAACATTTTGGTCGGCTTTTTAACAAATTTGGTTTTACCGGTGCTCAGCTATCCAAGTTCAATCGAAACTTCAATACAAAATCCTTCAACAAACCTTGAACTCTTCTTCATAACCCCACAAATAAAAAATCCAAACAAAAACAGCAAAACAGTACTTTAATTCCAATTTTCCACTTATCTAAAATTCATTATTCTATTCACAAACATTCACATTCTATTTTCCACTAGTTTTCCTTCTCATTTTCATTTCATGATAAAGTCACACAAGCGGCACCGCACTAACACACACTTACTACAGCATTAAAAAAAAAAATCTCCGATTGCATACAACATAAATAAAAACATTTAAATCAATTTAATTCATTTTGAAATAATGTGAGCTTATAATTTTTGTGTTTCAGTGGAAAAAAAAAATATTCAAGATTTTTTTTTATTCCTCATTCACCATGAAAACCGCAACAATACACACGTAGTACATATGAGAGCATTCACACACGATTTTATGTGCATTTATATTATAAATACGATTCACATTTTGTGAAATAATGTTTATGTTTTGTGAACTTTTTAAATAGAAATGTGAAAAAGGTCAAGTAGGAAATTTAAGGTTAGGTTTTTTTTGAATCGGGATGTAATTGTAGATACTTTTAATAAAGGAAATTTAGGTTACATCCAATCAAATCTACTCATAAACTGTAAATTTAATTAAAATTGCTTAAATCTAGTCCAAAACAGCATAATCTAGTTCAAATCAAATGAATTTAGCCTAATTTAGTTTATTCTAGTCTAAGTTAATTTAATCTAGTCCAAATTAGTTTAATCTCGTCAAAATTAGTTCAGTCTAGCCCAAAACAGTTTAATCTAGTCCAAGTCAGTTTAATCTAGTCTAAATAAGTTGAATCTAGTCCAAATCAGATGAGCCGTCAATAAATGCAATAAACCTAGTCCAAATTAGTTAAATCTAGTTCATAGCAGACGAAAATTCTCGAGATAAATCAAATCTAGTCTAAAACGTTTTATCCATACTAGAACTAGATACTAGTACACACAAGTCTAGTCTAGTCCAACATTTGTCAAATCTAGTCCAAATAATTAAACATTAGCTGAAATTAATAAAATCTAGTCAAAATTACTGCAAAAAATGAGCAACAATTCGAATTAAATCACAGTTTTTCACTCAATAATATCCTGCCTATCCCCTTTTACATTCCACAACAAAACTATTTCATACATAAATGCACTTTCATCATTTGTTCCATAGAATGGGGTCAAAAGCAGGGGTTAACATTGAGAACTTTTTTATATAGCTAAAATGCATGTTCAATGTACAAACATACGGCATGGCAACCGCTTTCTTTCTCTCTCATACATAAATTTTTGCCTTGTTTATATGCACACACAAAATAATCTCACTCTCTTTCCATCTCGTTCCTAGTATTTTTTTATTATACATTTTTATTTTTCTGTTATTTTATAGCTTGAATAGCAGCGAGCAGCTTCAGTAAGACATACAGAATAAAACTATCATTTTAATTTTTTATCACCCGTTGCATTTTGTTTGTTGGATGTTCGATAGTCATTTAATGGTTGTTGTGTAAATTGTGATTATTTAAGTTGTGGATTGTAATGGGCTGGAATGGAGCCAAGAGCCTAGTTGGGGTGTGTTAGAGTCTGATGAGGGTCCTTTGGGGGTATATTGCAGTCTTATGGAAATCAGTTTACTTCCAAGATTGAAGTTCCAGGTTACAAAGGAGGAGGAATAAGTAGGAAGTTATTTTACACAGTTTTATGAAATAATTAGTCATTTACAAGAAAGAAATACAAAAATGATAATTTTGGGCATCACAAAATTTACAAACAACCCTTTACCACAGACTAGAAACCAGAAACATTGGACTAAGACTATAAAATATATCCTGAAACCCACAAAAAAATCATTCAACCCATTTCACTCAATTTAATCATCTTATAATGAAATTTATTTAAAGTTTATCTGCTCTGTTGCTCATGATGTTTATGAAAGCGGAAGAAAACTTGAAAGTTGCAAGTCTTAAGGTTGAAATTACGACTAAATATCTCATTTGTTGTATTTCTTGCTCTTTTATTTTTCATTGTGCTGAACTTTTGTGAATATTTGCTCTTTTGTGATGTGCATGATTGGGGTACAGATGAAGGTTAAGGAGATGGCATGTTGTCTTAATAAGAACTGAGTTTTAAAGGTGAATTTGATTTTTTTCTGGATGATTGTACTTTGGTTTCTTTAGATACAATTAATATTTTATGATTAGCATAGTAAAATAGCCATTAGAAGCTCTTAAAAAGTATCAAAATCCTAGCTCGATCACAAAAAAAATTAAATTATTGCTCAAAAATGCGCCAATTCATAGTCTCACCCCAAAAATTCTAACTTTCTCATTTTTTGCATGCTCAAAATTGTTTTCTCGTGCGAGAATTGCATAATAAAAATCATGGAAATGAACAAGAAGTAAAAAAAATTTGAGTACATAAAAGAGGATGTTTTTGCTTAAAAATTAAATTTTTAATGTACTTCTTAATACTTGCTGCTTTTGTGGTTTAAGTGCTTCAGGTACTTTGTTAAGCTTGCTTTTAAAAAATGGTAAGATATGCACAGCTTTTGATGTTGAGGTGTGTGATTAAGTTTGGGAAAGAATTTTTAAAGTGAATTTAAAAGGGGTTTGTAGGATGAAGCTAGTGGTGTATGGACTTTAAGTTTGGGGTATCCAAAGAATATTTGGAGCACGAGTTTTGTTGTGTTTGAAGAATGGTGTGCAGCAAGCCCTTTCAGCAAGCCCTTTCAGGGACTAATTTTTAGAGCTTCTTTGAGCAGTTTGCTCTAGAATCAAGAATTAGTTTACAAAACTTGAAGGAAAACCAAAATATGACTCATAGTAGCGTAGGGTAGCCTAAGAAGCACCCCTGGAGCCAACTGTAATATCAAAAATTATTTAAAAAAAATTCAATCTTCATTTTTAAATTAAATTTCCATTATTCTCTTAAAAATTCTATCAAAATTAATCAAGAACCATCAAAACTAATTGACTATTTCAAGAACAATTCATCTCCATTTTCCCCATTCATTCACTAAAGATTGAACATGAAATTAACTTCTTAACAACCTTCAACATTCATTGTTAACTTGAACTTTGTCTCAATAAAACTGACGACAAAAAAATGTCAGCAAACACAATAGAGCCAAGCGTTGAGGAGGAAAAATCTTTCATGTAATCATTCGGAATGAAAAAAAAATTGAAAGCTGAAATGAAATTTTTTCTTGTTCCTGAACACCAAGGAACAAAAAAAAGGGAGAGAAAAAAATAAAAGAAAAATGTTTAACAAATTTTTTTTATTCAACCATTCATTCAGTCACTCATTCAGCTTGTAAGTTTTCATTTCAATCTTTCATCATTATTTGAATAGCAGTTGCTCACCTCTGTCCTGAATATACGAGTTTGTTTCATTTGGATGTTCTGCTGCTGTGGATGAGAAAAAAAATAGGGATAGTGATGAATAACAGAGAATATTTTAAGCAGCACATTTTTATGCTGCAAAAAAAAGGTGCATGAAAAAGTTGTGCATGAAATAAAAATTTATAAAAATAGAATAAGAGAGAGAGAGTCAGGAATGAATTGAAAGCATTCACGAAATATTCAATTTATTTCTTCATTTTTTTTCAATTTCGAAGTAGTGCTGATGATGATAGGGATACTGTCACAGTTAAGGACGTTATGTGAAGTTTAGTAGATTTTATTGATTATAAGCGCATTTATCTCGATCAATTAAGTCTAATGTTGCTGAAATGATTGATAGTCTCGAATAGCACAAGTCGGCAAATCAACCATGACTCTAGCATGGTGCTGGATCTAAGTCGAAGCACAAGTTGGTTGATGAATCACAAATCAAGCACCAAGCCAGTATGACTCTGGCATGATCCTGGTGTGACAAAAAGTAGCAAGAACCAGGAGCCAGCGCCTGAATTCCTGGTTCTTGCTACCTGTTGCTACACTGGCTTTGATTTAGATCCAGAATCACACAGGCTTGGTGCCGGTTTTCTATTCGATTAATCGAGTTATGCTATTCGGCTTATTTATAAATATGAGCTTGGCGCTTGGTGGATTAGATTACTCAAACTGTAGTGTAAAGATTGGTCCTAGCAATAACATCAACTGATTTTAAGACATGTCACAGCGCTTACAAGTCACCGCAAAAGCTTCACAGCGCACTTTAACATGAACTTATTTCTTGGATGTACCCTAAGTGCTCCTGCCTCTTTTACATTTACTTATTATTTCAACAAAATACTACATATTTCCCGTTGTAGAAAAACTAAGTTTGATTTGTCACACATTTAGATGTCGATCAGCTCAATTCATTTTCAAGGACTCAAAGGACATTCCAACAATGTCAAGTTCAAGTTTGACAAAGGAAACAATCAATAAATCTCAAAACTCTTTCCAAAAAACCTTCAAAATCTTCATCCACAGCAAATCTTAAAACGACAATATCAATTGAACAAATTCCTTATCTCAACTATTGTCAAGATCCCATCCTCGTTTCCTTCAAAATTATGTCAATTTTCAAAGTCAGTTCCATCGCATTTCTGCTCTTTTAACAAAAATTTTTCTTACAAAAGAAAATGAAAAACTTGGAAATGAAATTTTTCGCTTTTTGTGCATTTTTTTTGTATGTCAACAATGTGATTCCGAGATGCAACTTTTAGTTCTTCTGATAATATCTACAACTCAGGACTCATGATACTTAAACTTTCCACTTTTCTTCCGTTTTCATTTTTCTTGTCGAATGAATTGAAAGGAACTCTTCAATGTGCATGAAATGAGGACCAGAATAAAGTTTTATTTTTCGTCTTTTATTCCTGGGAAATTAGAAAAGAAAGAATGGTTTTTTTTTGCTTACTTACAGCTTTTTAAAATGCATTTATATTTGAGGTTTGGAGTTGAATGTTGGTGGTTTGCACTGTAAGATGTGGTTTTTGAATGAATTTGAATGATTTTGGCTTTTTTTAAGTTCATATCTGAAGAACATAGTGAATCTATTTCTTCAAATACTATCCAATAAGTCTGGGGATCAGAATATCCTCAGACATATCCAGAATTTAAGGGACTGAGGAAAATTCTGAGACTAGGGTGGGGTGCCCTGGAGAGATCTAGAAACCAACCCCCGAAAAACTAAGTGGTTTTACAAAATTAAAAAATTTTAAAACTGCACTTTCTTCTCCGTTGGATGGTCCAGATCCATCTCCAATTCACTGTGCCTTTGCATCACTGAAAACTTTGTCAAGTCTCAAAATAGTTTTCTACATCCTAAAACCAAAACCACAATGTGATCCCCTGACAATACCTCCATAAATGCACCTTAGACAATTCCACCTTTAAACTTTCCTTAACTGTTGCATTTATGCAGTATTATTTACAGAAAACTAAAGAAAAATCTTTGCAGTTTCGTCGGAAAATGGATTAAACGAAAGAATAAATAATTTAATGAGAAAGTTGATAGTTACAAAAGTTTTCCATTTTCCTTCATTTTATTTACCAAGATTTGTTCTAATTATAATGAAATTCAGGGTAGAGACGGGACATTGACTTTTGGAGGTGAAATTATGAAACTGATATTTTTTGGTATAATGCAGAAGATGTCTTGAGAATCTTTAATTTATGTCCTTAAAACCAAAATCCATTAAATAATCAATTCAAAACCACAGCTTTAATTCCATCCAATTCACAATCCCCAAATACTTCATTACATCATCTGACCTACTGAACTATCACTTTAAAATTGCAGCACAACAAGCGTGTCAATTTTTATTTAACATCAGCTTAATTTTTGGTGTAAAAACCTTTTTTTCACTGACCCATATCAACTGATAAAAAGCACCCCACCGACCTCATCCCACAATTTTTTCCTCATAAGCATAAATTAATTTGTATATAAATCTCTGCCACATGAGGCTATGCAAAAAATTAAATAATACAAAAAAAAATGTTGTACACACTCTCTTTTCCCAAATTGTCCAATTAATTATTCTCATTATGAAGTATAATGAAAAAAAGCAGGTCAATTATGCTCACATGGAATCGTGTGCTTATTGACTTAACTTATTAACCTCGCCATTATCATCAAATTTTATTAAAATATCAATTTTCGAAATTCGCTTAAATTAAGTTTGATGGGCTGGTGTGAATGATGTGAAAATGCTGGTTGGGGATAAGGCAGATGGGGTAGGGGGGGGGGGCATGATGATATGCAAGAAGAGGCTGAAGTGGCTTGTATGACAGAAGATAACTTATTTTAAACTTTCTGCACCAAATTCTGTTCCTTAATATATTTATATAATTAAATTTGCAAAATATATTCCTAAAGAGTCAAGGAACTGCATCAATTATTATGCACTTATTTCAGGTCCGACATTCATAGCCATGGTTGTCAACATCCTCATTATGATAGTAATTTGTTTTAAAAAGTCTAAAATTTTCTTACAGCACCTCACCAGTCGAAAGGTTCTAGATCCATCCCTTTTCGCCTCTCCCTACCTCGACCCCTGATCACCAACACTTGCACTTGCCCAATCCTTTATTCATTCCAATCAAAATTTAATTAAAGTTATCAATTTACACTCAACATCCTCTCAGCCATTGTCCCCCGATTATCGATCGGACCGAGTAAAATTTAATGAGAGTCAGTGTCCTTCCGGTTATTCATGGATATTTATTCAACAACAAAATACAGAAGGGGAAAAAAAGAATTTATTTCAATGGAAAAAAATCACCATAATCTTCATAAATATGTTAATTTAATAGCTTTTGGCTTCAAACTATCGCATATTGTTATAATTCCTATTACGAAAAAATAATAAAAAAAAAGTTTCTCTTTTGCTGTTGATGCCTTTTAATCCCCTCTTTTTTATTTTTGTGTAGATTTTTTAAAGTGCTTTTATTTTTGGATCAAATTAAGACGTGATTTTTGCATTTTGTCAAGGGAGGGGAATTTTGAGGGAGTGGAGGGTAGGGGGGGGGGGGGGAGTTGTTAATGAATGAAAATGAGTTGATGAGAATTGATTCTTGAACTAGGGAGGAGGTTGATTTAGAATGCAGTTTCATTTAAAGCTCAAACTATCAGGACCACAGAGGACAAAAGCTCATCCTAGATTTCCAGAAACTTGTTCCAACTTGCTTCATGAATTTTCTCTCCCTCTGAACAATTTTCTGTCTCATCGACTCCGTTTTCCGCTCGTTATTCAAATAACAACAGAGAAACAAACACTTTTTTAAGCAGTTGCAATTTTCGATTTTTCCCCAACTTTTGCATCTCTAAATTAATCCTTTTGATACAAATACAAAAGTTCTTGTTTTGGTAAATAAAGAAGAAAACGGCAGCAAGAAGAAGTTTTTTTGTATATAAATTTTAAATCATTAAACAAATCTGAACGAAGAGAATTTTCCTCTCGAGGTGAATTTATTTAATGTTAAGCAGGAAAAGTTTTGAGTTTACTTTTTGTATTTTAAAGGATTAAAGGGATCGGATTTTAGGAATTTGTTAAATATCCATTGTGAAATTTATTGTGATTTAATTTATTTAATAAAAAATACCTATGACAATATTGATCTATCTTGGACCAATTTGTGATCTCGTTAGGAATGATTTAGGAGGGAAGGGGGCTAGGTCAGAGATTTTTTCTGGCAAAGCTATTAAAGATTGAAATTTTTCCATGTGTGAGGAAAGCAACCTAATCATGTGCACTATCCTGACTTTAAAGTTAAACCACTGCAAGTGGTTCGGATTCCACTATCATCTGTTGGTAGAAATCGCAGTGCCTTCAGCTCAAAAGCTCAAAAGTCATTTTCATGCTTTACCTTTTTTAAACCATCACTGTAGAAGCTCTTTCGTAGCGTCCCTTGATATCTTAATATATAGTCCGCGCTAGCATAGCTAGTCTATCAATCTAGTATGTCATAATTGAACAAATTTATATGATTAATCCAGGCGCGTAGGGGGGGGGGGGGGGGTGACAAATCTCCTTTGTCTTAAGGTTTGCAATCGAACACCGAAGAATTTATTTTGAACATGTTGCTAAAAATAAGACTCAGTGGTATGCCTATTTGGCACAACATAGCCTTCAAGACTTTATCAAATCATTAAATTAACGGCAACGCGTCACAATAATGTAGACTTGCATTATTAAAGCCTGTTTGATGGTTATCAAGATATTTGTAGCAGCATGCTAAACTAGTTTTAAGGTTCGAATCTTATGAATTTCATTGAGTACACGATACTAATAGTGAAACTTAAAGTATCTCTTTTTATAAACTTTATAATTATATTCAAATAATCAAAAATGTAACTTGTCAAATGTTTTAGATACTTAAATTACAAATATTCTAGGAATTAATTAAAATTTTCTCATTAACACCCCCACCTTCCATAGTTCCCACCTTTAATATCGAAATTCATCAAAAGATCTTAAAATTAAATCTAAAACTAAACCAGACTAGAAATTACAGAACAAAAGAATGCCACGAGTTTAATGTTCTTGGAAAAGCAAGAGCACGCGTTCCATTACAGCACACGTAATTAAATTCAAGATTTTTTTTCTTCTGTAATTTAATTCGCTAATTCCATTACTGCATTACGCAAATGTAACAATATATTTCCGTTTCATGAAGAAGCAATCAAGAAGTGAAATTTTTAACATTTCAATGTCACTAGGTAACTGTGGATGAATGTAATGAAATCATAAATGTCGCATTAAATTTCACCTTTGTCACTGAGAGACACAACATGATGACGACTTTAAGGATAGACAACAACAGCAGTAAATGTTTGAAATCAGAAACCAAAAAAAGAGATTTTTTCACTCATTTTTTTCCATATGACGACATTACTATATAAATACGGATTCTTTCATGTGAGAATCTCCTGAATACTCTTGAAAAAATTTTACTTCTCTTACTGAAGGAAGTAAAATATTCGCATGAATAATTCTCATTTTACTCTTCAAAAAATATTTTTTTTTTCCTTTTGTGACTTTAAGGTAACATCAAGTATTGGTAAAGAAAGAACCTTTTTGAAATATTTATTTGCATGATTATTTGGGAAAGATGATATTGATTTGGTGATGATTTGGCTGCTCTGATTTCAGCAGAGGTAAAACAAGAAATATGAATATTTGTGAGATATGCTTTAAAACTTTAGAATTATTGATTAGCATATTAATAAATCATGTGAGTAGCTCAGGTGATACAAGCAATTTTACAATAAAGCAAAAACTTTTGGCTATTCAGATCAATTCCGATTCAAAGGTGCACTAGGTCGATTCACAGCTAATGGGAGTTTAACGAGTGAGCTTAACCTACACTTTAAAGTAAGATCCAAACTAATCCTTTAATGACATTGCTGCCTATAGCCTACAAAGGAAGGATATGAACTTAATTTCTAGTACATAAAAATGCGAAAAAGAATAAGCAAAACATTTCACGTGTCGAGTCTCGAACTCATGATCGCTGTGTTGGTTTTGTAATAATCAGGTATCGAAGTACTAAACCATTCCGCCACAGAACCACTTCAGCTCAATTTAAATTTAACAATAAGAAGCATAGTCATTCGTGCAATGAGTTTAATCAGGACTCGTAGTCGATAAGGGTTCGGACTAGAGTTGAGTCAGTGGAATAGTCTAAAGAGGGCTGTAGAGATGTCAAGCTCCTTAACTAAAAATTGAACTTAGTCCAAATTTTCCGATTGCATAGATTATCTATCATAGTATCCAATAAAGTCCTTATTAGATAATCCAGCACTGATACCAGTGTCAAGTATCCCTCAACATTCAAATCAATCTATTTTTAATCTATAAAGTGTCTCTTCATGTCAGTAAGAGATCAACAGCATCCAATAAATGAATATTGTACGTTATAAATTCTCCATTTAACTACATCCCATTCACAAATGTCTTTCAAACTTGACTTCTGTTGCCCTTTCAACTCTTTACATATCCAATAAAGTCAGTATTTTCATTTGAATTTTTCAAAAGAACAGAAAAAAGAGTAAGTAAATATGGACACGAAAAGTACATAAAATGGGAGGTCAATTGGAATGCTTGATCCAGCAAATTTATTCAATCTTGTAATTGAAATGAAAAATATTTGCAAAAGAAGACGCAAAAGAATTTTTTTTTTCATGTAAGAACTGCTGTCATTTTCAAACTCATGCACTTCCACAAATGTGCTCGAAAAATTTCTCGCATTATCGTAAATGAGACTCTAAATTAGCGCATTTATTACACATTGTTTGCGATGATGATGAGACGACATGCAGCAGAACTTCTTCCTTCTTTTTTTTTGTGCCGCCGGTTTTGTGAAAATTGAATTTTTATCAGACACAAAAAATCATCGAGAATGAAAACTTTTTTTTTGCTGCTATTTTTTATTATCAATGAAATTTACTTCATGCTGTGCCATTGTGACTGCGTCTGTGCTGAGTTTTGCAAAGAAAAGTTTTTTTTTGGAATTGTCGAAGGAACGAAAATTGCAACTTTTTTTAAAAAAGTTATATAGTTTTTCGAAACGTGCCTTTTTTGAAATTGTATTGAACATTTGTAAAAGGTGTAGGATTGGATTTATTATTTCTGCTTGCACAAAATATTTAATTAGGTTCATTAATTGAATGCTTGAAGAAATTTCAGTTTATTGACTTATTTTTACGGAAAATGAAGTTTAAAGTTTGTAAAAACCACATTCAGAGACTGCTTTAAGACATTTATTATTAATGAATTTTGATAGTAGACCTAAAAATAAATTGTACTGTTAATGAAGGTTAATATCTTGTTAATTCGTGGCTTAATTCCGTTGAGATTAATTGCTTTGAAGATTTCTTAATTTAAATTTTAGAATCTTTTAAAAATTTAGGAAACAAACTTAAAAATAGAATTGCGACTTACTGCATTCAGATTGAGGGGGGGGGGGGGGGGGGTGAGAGGTAAAGATTACGATCATGTTTGATATATCAGATTTTGTCAAATCGTTTAGTAACTCAAGAATGAATTTTTTTGTAAACTTTCGAGAACAAGTGCTTTTCTCGTTTAGTCATTGGAATTTTAAAATCTCCAACCCCCCCCCCCCTCCTGCCTTTCTTTTCTTTGTCAAGATTAAGACCTCAGAAAAATTAAAGATTCCCCCAACAAAAAAGGAGATGTTTAGCATATTCTGGATATCGCAGCATATCCAGCGTACTACAGTCTCATCAAGATTTGTTAAAAAAATGGAATAATAGAAAGACATCTCTTCAAAAATCCCCATCTTCCCTAATTATTCCCACCATTTAACGACCATTAAAATTCATCCCTAAATTCCTCCAAACCACAAAAACACACAAATAATCCACTCGTAAAAAAAGTTTTATTTTAAAATTCATATCAGATTTCATATCCCGAAAGACGGGAGTCGAGGTTTAAAAAAAATGTTTGCAGCAAGAACAGCGGTCAGTGTGAACAGTTGAGCGATAAAAAAAATTGCTCTTAAATTGACATTAAATGAATTTTAATGTGCGTGTCGATTATGCAACATGACTTGAGGGCAAAGAGCAGTGAAAAACTCGAACAAAAAGGAAATAAGATATTTTTTGGTATAAATTTTCATTTAATTTAATTTTTTGTTCGGGATGGCATTTAAAATTTTCAATCAGAAAAATGCAGAATCAAATTTCAGTTGATTTTTGTGGAACTTAAAATGATATCTGCAATAAGTCAAGCTTGATGTTTAAAATGAGTTTTTTTTGTGCTGAAAATGCAGCATTTTTTAACTCTACAAATTACATTTTCATCCACGAATAAATATCATAAATTATATTAAAAAAAAGTTCGTTGATTCCGTAAATCAAATGACAATAAATTCAATTGATGGTCGATGTTGAATAAATCATTGCTGAAATCATTTTGCTTCTCTGTTGGATGAAATTATGAAGATTAAAATGTTCTGGAACTGCATTGTAGTTCATTAAAAATAATCGAAAATAATCAGCAGAATTAAAATTTGGTCTTCGTAGATTATTATAGCTGATTGCTGCAACTTTTAAGAAATTAAAGTCAATTATTTTAGTTTGTAAAGAAAACATTGTGTTTTTCGGGAATTGAGATCAGGAGTATCGAAATTAGTCATATTCAACATTGCAAAATCCGCAATCGACCCAAAAGTTTAAAGCTTAATTCTCAAATTTATTTAATTTGTTTAAAAACTTTTTATTTTTTTTGTTGTATAAATACCTGAACGAGATCAGTGCTTTCATCATTCGATAACAACAAGTTCATAAGCTAAGATCGACGCAATATCATCAAATCATTCTCTCCTAAAATGGATTATTCAGATTTAGTGTTTGAAGATTTAATAAAATTTCCTGAACTAGCATTAAAAATATTCGGAAGAACACTTGGTAATTCTTCGAATGTGTCAATTAAATTGGAACCGGAATTTGAAAATGACAATTTATTCATTAATGAAGATAATTTAAAATTGGAACCAAAAAATGAAAAAGACAATTTACAGGAAGATATTATCAAATTTGAAGATAATTCACACACAAACCACATGAAAATTCATCAACCGCGAATTCAATGCAAAGTAAGTTCGAAACTGCAAACATTAAATCAACACAACAAGACAAAACACTATAAAATTCAACTAAAATTTAACGAGAAATTCAACTGTAAAATCTGTGGAAAAACTTTCAAAAATAATAAAAATCTAAAGGACCATATCAGCAAGAAACATGAAAATCCAAAATCATTTGAGTGTAAAACATGTGGCAAAAAGTTTGATTGGAAGAGGAATTTAGTAAGACATGAAAAGACGCACAATAAAAATCAACGAATGTGATCAGTGTCAGACTGTAGGCATCATCAAGGGTGTGGTACTGATGAAATGATCAAAAATGATCCAAAAATTATCAAAAATGATCAGAATGTAATTCTTCAGTTCCACAACCTTGGGCATCATTTGAAAAGACATGTAGAAGACTTATAAGTAAATTGTAATTCAGAATTTAAATAAATAAAGAATTAAAATTTAAAAAATAATTGGAATTGCTTATTTTGAGGAGTATTTTGATAAAGACTGAAAGACCAATTCTACACAATCAAAGTGGAATTTAAGGAGAAAATAGCTCTAAGTCTATAAAGGGTCCTATGAGCAATCGCTGTTAATAAAGAAAGATAGACAGCTCAGCCTGTTTTCTACAAATGATAGAATAGGTTTGTTGTAGTAAGGTCGGATATCTGTAAACCTAGCTCTGTGTTGAGAAATGTGAGTTCTATTCCTACCAGAACAACGATCTCTTGTTGTCAATATGACAAGGATTGTATCAAAAATTAATAGACATAAAAGTCACTTAAAGACCTTCAGGCAATGCTCAAGAGATCTTGTCAAAGATCTTGACATGAAAATAAGAAACTTGTGTGTGGATGTAGATTCCTTGCAAAAGTTAAACTTGATTAGTAATGAATACTTTTTATTAGCGTGTCTGGGATGCAAAGCTAAATTTGTAACAATTTTCTATTAAAACCTTCAATTTGCTTCAATTCTTCATTTACATAAAATTAAATTTCATAAATCTGTCTCTCTCTTATCCTGTCCCATCCAAAAAAAAATAAAATAAAATATCCAAATTAAATTTAAAAGGACACTCACCTTCATTTGACTGAATGGAACTGTTTATAACAACACAACAATTGGATATGATTAAAATGAAAGCAAAAATCATGGCATTTGTTATTAAATTTTTCCTTCCTTCCTACGGCAATTTTCTCAATTCACTTTAATTTCACTTTTTCTTTCTGCTTAACAGCAAAAAAAAAAGCAGAGAATCACCAAACTCTTGTTTTAATGCGATTTTTATAAGTCGTTAAAACTGCAACAGCACTTTTTTTAACACACTGTAAGCATTCATGTACTAAAACATTTAATATTTATAAAAAAAATATATATATCGTAAGAATCCTGGATGGTGTGTGTTTGTATGTAAGTGGCACAACAGTATAAATTTTTTTTATATTTTTCTCACATGCACTAAATTGAGTTCACGTTCAATTGTTGAAAATTGATGCTGATGATGGTGTGGCAATAAATACATTTATATTCGTTTTATTGTTAGTGTGATGATAGGAAGTAAAGAATTATGAAAGTTTTTATTTATTATTAAAGAGCACTAAATAACACTCAACATTGTACGAGGCGTTGAGGAGGCTTTTTGTGGATTATGACTTAAATGATTTTTTTTTCCTGTTGGATATTTAATAATTAAGGCTTTTAGTGTGGGAAGTTTTTAATTTTTAAGTGCTGAGGGTCTTTGATTTGAACAGGATTTTAATGTAACAAAATATATTTAAATCGAGGACCCCCAGAATTTTTAAAATTTTAAAATTATATATTATGATGATTTAAAGGGAAAATTTGCAATCAAGCATTGACTTTTGAATCAAAGTACCTCCAGCTCAAAAAGATGGGCCATTCCCACAATTTATCTTTATTGGAGTCGGACATAAATGATGTTTAATTATCAGTCTGAGAAATAAATCTGACACGAAGTTGCACTTTTATTTAAATAAATTATTTCACGTGAATTGAATCGAATTGAATACATATTTGATAGACATCATTTAAGTTTGCCTTTATGTAATTCCCGTTTTCGGGAATTTTGGAAACCCTAGCCTGAAAGCAAGAACTGAACGCATTTATGTCTAGTTTAGATAGCTCACTAATGTTCTGGCTTAATGGATCGTCGGTGCAGCCTTTGAGAACTAAATCAACTTCATATGAAATTGAACGTAGTGATCCTGCATAGTGCATATATAAACCATATAAACTCCAAATCTTATGCAACAAAAAATAAAATAAAACACCCAAACTACTTCACTTATGATGTCTAAGGAAAAGGGGGGAGGTCTGCAAGAAAAGAACAATGGAAATTCCTGAAAATCCATTATTTTTTAAATGACTATTAATTTGGGACGTCATAAGTGAACCACGTCAGGCTTTAATCTTAAATGCAAGGGTTTTTTAGTTTTCAATCTTTAATTTTTGGTTCCATATAAGAAGATGGGTCTACGATTTTGTGACACTTTGAAAAAAGCAATTTTTCATGATTGAAAACTTGTGAAAAATAAATCATTTTAGGTGAATTGTGATCCAGATGTGCGGTTGGACATTTCGCAGCTAATGAGAGGAAGCTTGTAGCACTCAGTTAAAAAAGAATTTTCACTTGTGAACTATGCCAAATTATGACAAAGAATTAAAAACAAACTCAGGATTAGTCTTATCTTCAAAACAATTGAATTTTGCTCAATAAATTCCTTCAGATACGAAATCCCTTACTTAAAAAATAACATCTTAATAATCTCATAAAAATCCTAAACATCTCATAAATTAAACGACCAACTTTATAAATTCAAACATTTTTCTCACATCCTTTTCAAAAATTTTTCTATTCTTTATCAAGTCACAACTCTTTTGTTTGCGGCAAATCTTAAAAACAACAACTTTATCCACTTCACAAAATCTCAATTCTTTACTCACAAAACTTATTCTTTTCAAATTTCCATAATCAGACGCTCGAGCACCAAAAAAAATTATCATCATTTCCCTTTTGATTAGTTCTTCACCTTATTTTTTTTCTATTCTTAAAAATTGTTTCTTTGTGGAGATTATTTGCACTTTCCGTCTGTCCTGTCTTTATGGAGAGAGAGAGAGCTTATCAGATTAAATCACATTCAGACAATACACAGCAACTTGTTTTTTGTTTCACTAGTTCTTTTTTTTACAACTTTACTTCTCTTTTCATCATCTTTTGGACGTGAAAAAAAGTAGAACAATTTTGTGTTCACGTAAAGCTGCTTCTTCTCGTCTACTTTCTCTCTGTGTGCTATTTTATTAGATATCTTTTACCACAACAAGTTTAAGGAGTAATGTGGAAGTTGTTATGCTTTAATGGGACTTTAGAAAGGGGTTGGGACGCATATGTTTAGCAAACAGATGGCAGATAATGGAGAATCAATAGTTAAAGTGACTAGAATACTTGAAATGACCCTAGTCAATACTCAGGAGTTGAAGATTGAAGTTTTGCTGAACTTAAGGAAGACTTTACCAAGTTTATTTAGTTTTCTTTTATTTAAGCGCCAACAGAACGAGGTAGGACTCGAATCTTCTTAGGTCTACCTCCTTTATGAATGAAAATTATTGTCCCTTACATTAGGAAATAGACAAAATTTGACTGTAAGGAGGGTAGCTATCCCGGGTAGCTCAAGAAATTCGACGATGTATTGAAATAAGACGGAATGATGGGCAGGATTCCAATGCAGTAAATCAACGTTTGAGTGCTGCGACATGATTAACACATCGTAGTCACCGGTTAAATCACACAAGTTCGAATCCTATCATCTTTACCACAATTTTATAAATCCATATAATCCAGCCAATCACCAAAAATGATCAAATATCTCTCCCTTAATTCCATCAACAAAGAAAAAAGAGTTTCCAACAGAAAAGAAGTAAAGAACGATGAGACGTTCCAGTAATACATAGATAACTAGTATGGAATGAGAAATGTATTCTTTATTGCTTGATGTCACGAATCTCACTTATCCATAAAAGTGGCGAAAAGTGGAAGTGGATGAAAATTTGTTGTTTTTCTTGTTGACTTCTGTGTGTGTGTGTGTGTGTGTCATGACTTCTTCTTCTCTTTAACATACGAAAGTCAATTTTGTTGTCGAGTGATAAAAGGAAGGGGAGTTGGATTGGGAGATTATGATAGGGGTAGATTTGGAAGGGGGAAGGAGGTAGATTTGATGAGTTCTAATCTTTTAATAAGAATGAAGAATACTTTGGTGGATTATTTGAGGCAGGTTTGTGGTTCTACTGGCTGGATTTGAATGTTCTTGAATTCTAAGGGAAGTCGGGTTGTGTGCTGCAAAACTTTTAAAGAATCTCAGATCTTAGTTTGGATTGGAAATGCTAATTCCAGCAAAACAGCCTTTTATATCCATAATTCTTCTATTTGTGATAATTTCATAAATTATGCGCCTTATACCCCAACATCTAAAATTTTCCCTCTTGTTCCTTATAAATTCTTTTCCTTTTCCACTTCGACCAAGGTTTTTTATGATTTCCGTTAGCTAAGTTTCACGTTTCAGTGCCTACGACCGAATATCCCTTTAATTTCAATTTCGTTAATTGACTTGACTTCTCAGTCCTCCCCTCGCCCCACACAGCTCCAAACAATTCTCAACAAAAAAACGTTTTCTTTTTGTTGATAGTTGCGGTCGCCGATTTTCACTTCCTTATTATCGCGACTTTCATTTTATTCCAAGTGCGGTCTTTTGTGTCTATTTATAATTTTTAATGACGAAAATTGTTTTATGTTTTTTTCACACTCAATTCATTTTATTCTTATTGAGATATTTCCTCTGCCGCCCCTTCTTCCTTTGTTTTATTTCCGGTCTTGCATGAAAATTTTCTTAATTGAAAATCCTTTTTGAATTACAAATTCTTTCTTTTTTTTGTCGTCATCTTCTTTTGTGAAAGGAAAATTTTATTTTTTGAAAATTTTCTTTTGTTTAATTTTTTTTTGAAGTTTGGGATTTTTTGGAATATTTTAAATTGGTGATTAATATGTTTTATTTTGGCAGTTGTTTGGAAGAACTTTTGTGAGTGAAATTTGATGGAGTTCTTAATAAGTGTTCTAAGATTTACAGCATCTAATATTTTTTGGTTGATTTTAAAAAAATTTAAACTTATTATTAGAAAAGTATTCATCAAACTTATAATTTGAAATTATTTCAAATCAATTAAAAAATTTTGATTATTTTAAAAAATTTGATGTTTAACGGAAGATGGATAACAAAAATTTAATAAATTTATTTTTGTTATTTTTAAGCGTAGGTGAATATTATTTTTAAATTCATTAATTAATAGTCAACTTAGAATTCAAATCAAAGATGTTAAACTGATCAAAATGATCAGACATGATGAAAAATTATCAATAATGACCAAAAACGACCAAATATGTTGAAAAATCAGCAAAAAATTATCAACATCCAATTATAACTTCCGCACAGTGAATTCAAACAAGTCCAAACTTTGAATTATAACCTATTTCTTGACAAAATCTTAAATTTTAAAGTTCTAAGAAGTAATTATTATTAATTGGATATTTCAAAATTTTAGAAAGTTTTTAAATTATTTGTATAATTTTTTTAAAGCTTTTTAATTATTTTACTAATTGCGGGAACATTATTAAGAGCTAATTTAAAATGATTAAAGATAGATTTATTCTCAATTTTAAAAGTTTCATTTAAAAATCATTTATATTTTAACGATTTAAAAATGATCAATTACAAATGTTTCCCTTTAAATTTGAATCACTTAAAATTATTTCACACTTTATAAACATTGTTTTCAAATTTCTTACACTATTTGCTGCCAATTTAAGTATTCAAAATCTGGATTTCAGATTTAATCAAAATTAAAAATTTCTTGAATTTCACTTGATTAATTCACTAAAGTTTAGTGACTTTATTATTTCACTTCAACATATGACTAGTGCTCTGCAATTGATCAGAATATGTGATCAGAATTAATAATTTACATTATCATTTAACTTCCGGTGATGATAACACATTTTCTAGTTTCCTTGTTTATTATTTTATATTCAATGAAATTTCAACTTGAATCTTTTGTTATTTTGTGCATCTTATTCACTTTACTAGACTTCCGGATCGTTAATAATTCTCAATGTTGAGCAAATTTGTATATTTTCACTATTTTTTATTATTTTCCATAATTTCAAAAATTCTTCTCGCGATTATCGAAATTTCGGTAAAATTTTAATTTTAACTCCTCGACT